AGCATGTACTCTTTGGTATCTTCTTTTTATAATTAAACTCTTCTGGCCAGGTGTCGTGGCTCACACCTATAATCCCAGCACTTTGGGAGGCCAAGGTGGGTGGATCACCTGGGGTCAGGAGTTCGAGACCAGCTTGGCCAACATAGTAAAACCTGTCTTTACTAATAATACAAAAAATTAGCTGGATGTGGTGGCACATGCCTGTAATCTCAGCTGCTCGGGAGGTTGAGGCAGGAGAATCACTTGAACTAGGGAGGCAGAGGTTGCAGTGAGCAAAGAACGCGCCTTTACACTCCAGCCTGGGCAACAAGAGCAAAACTCCATCTCAAGAAAACAAAACAAGCAAACAGAAAAACACTTTTCTTTGAGATTTATCTGTGTTATTTTGTATATCCATTCATTTCATTCCATTGCTGAGTAATTCTACTAATTGCATATACCACAGTTTCATCTTTCAAAGGACATTTGAGTTATTTCCAGTTTAGGCTATTATGAATGAAATTCTGTGAACATTCTTGAGTAGTATTTTAGAGGATATTTGTTTTTATTCTCTTAAGAAAATACAAGGAGTAGAATTTCTTGGTCATATACTGGTATATGTTTAACTTTATAAGAGAGTAATATTTACCATTTATTTATCTTCTTGTTTGAAATATCTGTTCAGGTCTTATGCCCATTTTAATTGGATAGTTTTTCTGTTTATTATTGATTCATATTATTGACTTATAGTAATATTTTATAAATTGATCTCTTTATTATTGTAAAATGTTTCTTTTTATTTGTGGCAATACTCCTCATCATGAAGTCTAATTTCTGATATTATTATAGCCACTTATACTTACTGTATACCTGATTATTTTTTCCATACCTTTATTTTCAATTTATCTGTGTATTTGCATTTAAAGTTCATCTCTTGAGCCTAACAGTGACAAGCACCTTGAACCCAGATCTTTATATCTAAATCTGATTATCCAGTAAAATTTATCAGAGTTCTCTGGAGAAGTGGCTGATTGTAGAGCAGGGATAAGAAAAGTATATGCTGAACCTGAAACATTTTGTGGTGCCAAAAAGTAAGGAAATACACAAAAAAATTGAGAAGATGTCAGAAGTGTACAAAAACTAACCTGACGTGACTCTCAGTGACCATATCTGGGACAATTTGAGTAAAAAAAAATTGACAATAATGGATTATATCTTATAAGATAATAAAAAATAAATATCAATGAGCCTATGATAATATAAATTAGTGGCTGAATGTATAAATGGGAGGAAGGGAAAAATTCTTTATTTCAGCAGAATTATAATTAATTAATATAAAATAGAAATAGTAGAAATAGAAAGTCAACATTTGGCAAGCACCACAGTTATAATTGTTGCAGGCAAGAATCATCAATGGATGCTAAAGTTTGTGAGAAAAAGTATGATGAGAAATAGGTTATTTACGTATCCTCAAAGGCTTTTCCTACAAGATACTGTTAATTACAAAGGGGAAGATATTGAGAACCATGGAAGACAGCACCTTAACCAAATGATTGAAGTGTTAATATCATTGCAATACAACAAATCAGTATCATGTGCCTCCTGATATGATGTGCTGAGAAGGGCACAAGCATCACCTTTATGCTATTCTTGCAAAAAATACATAATCTAAAGTCAACCATGAAGAAATCTTAGAAGGATGTTCTATAACTAGTCAGTACTGCTCAAAAATGTCAAGATTTTAAAAGACAAAGAAAGACTAAGGTACTTTCCAGATTAAAAGAAGAGAAGCTAAGGAGACAGGACTACCAAATGCAATATGTGAATCTGAATTGGACCCTGGACTAAAATTAGGCAGACAACTGGTGAATTTTGAATCAAGTCTGTAGAGCAGTTAATAGTATTTCTGGTTTTGATCATTATAATATAGTTATTTAAGATGTTAACATTTGGGGGATCTGGGTGAAAAGTATATGAGGATTCTCTCGCAGTATTTTTGCAATTTTTTTAAATCTGAAATTATTTTAAAATGGGAAGTTGACTGGACACAGTGACTGACACGTGTAATCCCAGTACTTTGAAACACCAAGGCAGGAGACTCACTTGAGCCCAGGATTTGAGACCATCCTGCGTAAGATGGCTAGACCCCATCTCTTCATAAAAAAAAAAAAAAGCAAAAAAGTGAAAAAAAGAAAAATATTTAATAAAATATTTTTAAATAATAATGATAGATGTCTTTTATAGGCAACATATGATTAGGTTTTGCATTTTTATTCAGCTTGACAATCTGTGTCTTTCATTGGACTGTTTGTCATAATTTATATGGCTGGATTTAGCTCTCAGAATGTGCAGTTTATTTTTGTTCATCTCATCTGTTTCTTTGTTTCTCTTTTCCTGCCTTATTTTGAGTTAGTCAAATATTTGCAATATTCCATTTTAACTCTTCTCTGTGCTTTTTAGCTCTGCAGTCAATTAATGATTAACATATCAATCATACCACTTTATATAAAATGTAAATCTTGCAACAATATAGATTTGATTATTCCACCTATCTTGTGCGCAATGCTGTCATTTGTATTACATCTACATGTATTTTAAACAAAGATTGAGAAGGTACCTTAAAAAAAAAAAAAAAAAAACCTTACCCACATGTTTACCATTTTCTGGTACTCTTTACTACTCTCTTTAGATCTGAACTTCTATCTGGTGCCACTTATCCTCAGCCTGAAGAACTTCCTGTAGCATATTCTGTAGTGCCAACAATTTGTCTGCCGGTGACAAATTATCTCAACTTTATCCAATAGTATCTTGATTTTCCTTCCCTTTTTGATGGATAGTTTTTGCTAGATATAGAATTCTTGGTACATTTTCCATTTCAGCACTTATAGATATCATTCAGTTGTCTTCTGGCTTCCATTATTTTTGATGAGAAGTCAACCATTATCTGTATTCTTATTCTCCTGTGTGTAATGTATTGTTTTTATTAGGCTGCTTTCAAGATTTTGTTTATCTTTTTTGTTTTCAGCATTTAACAATGATGTGCCTACCCATTTTTCTTTATGTTGATCCTGCTTCAGTTCACTGACTTTATTGACTGTCTCAGCTTGTGTTTTTCTAAATGTGTGAATATTTTGGCTGTTTTTTCCCCCAAATATTTTTCTGCCCTATTACCCATCCCCTTTTATGGAACTCCAGTCACACATATGTCAGAATGCTTGAAATTTTTCTGCAAGTTCCCTTTATTTTTCATATTAGATAAATTCTGTCTCTGTATCTTCAAGTTCATGATACTTTTCTCCAGTCATCTTCCATCATCTTTTAAACCCATCTAGTGAATTTTTTTATTTCATGTATTATATTTTTCAGTTCTAAAATACATTTGGCCAGGCATGGTGGTTAACACCTGTAATCCCAGCACTTTGGGAGGCTGAGGCAGGCGGATCACCTGAGGTCAGGAGTTTGAGACCAGACTGGTCAGCATGGTGAAACTCTGTCTCTACTGAAAATACAAAAATCTGCCAGGCATGGTGGTGCATGGTACATGCCTGTAATCTCAGCTACTTGGGTGGCTGAGACAAGAGAATCACTTGAACCCAGGAGGTGGAGGTTGCAGTTAACCGTGATTGCACCACGGCACTCCAGCCTGGGGGACAGAGCAAGACTCTGTCTCGAAAATAAAATGAAATAAAATAAAATAAAATAAAAATGTGCATTTGATTCATTTTTAGTTTCCCTTTTACTGCTGAGATTCCCCATCTTTTCATTCATTATGACCTTATTTTTCTTTTAAGTCCTTTGAACATCTTTATAATAGCTGCTTTATTTTCCCTGTCTGCTTATTCCATGATCTGCGTCATCTTGTGACTGATTTCTGTTAATTACTTTTTCTCTTGATACTGGGTCATATTTTTTTTATTTCTTTGCATGTCTAGTAATTTTTTTATTGTAGGCTGGACAGTGAATATAGTAACAAACAGACAGTGAATTTTACTATATTTGCCTGAGGTGTGTTGATTTTTTCTCTTCTCTTCTCTTCTCTTTTCTTTCTTTTTCCTGAGATGGTGTCTTGCTCTGTCACCCAAGCTGGAGTTCAGTGGCACGGTGCCGGCTCACTACAACATCTGCTTCCTGGGTTTAAGCCATTCTCCTGCCTCAGCCTTTCAAGTAGCTGGGATTACAGGCATGTGCCACCACACCTGGCTAATTTTTGTATTTTTCGTAGAGATGAGGTTTCTTCACCATGTTGGCCAGGCTGGTCTCTAGAACTCCTGACCTCAGGTGATCTGCCCACCTCAGTCTCCGAAAGTGCTGGGATTACAGGTGTGAGCCACCGTGCCCGGTGTTGATTTTTGTTCCAGCAAGTTAACATAGCTGAATTCCAAATTCTGCTTCCCTTTTGGTGATCAACTGAAATTAATGCTGAGCCCTCTCAATCTTCCAGCTGTTGACTTTCACCTGTTCAGTTCAGGGTAAAACTAGGGATGTGGGTAAGGGTTTATATATAGATTTGGAAGAACTCTGGTGGCTTCTTTTTTTCTGGGATTTTTCTCCTCTTTTTCTAGATATGCTGTCAACCCCAAACTAGGCCTTCTGACTCCTCAAGCCAGTAATAGTGCAGATTTCAGCTTAAGTTCTAGGCTTGTCTGCATTATGTGGACTGTGGAATACTACTAGAGGAAAAGCCATGTAAATACTGAATCCTACTTCGTGTAGTTCCTTCTTTCAAGGATTGACATCTCTCCAGTTTCTGCTTGTTTTGGGTTATTCTGTTGTACTTTCAAATAGCTCTTTTAGTATTTTGTCACAGAATATAATGGTTATCTGCAGAAGGATTAATCTAATGTATGCTACTCTGCCATTACCAGAAGTTGTAACACATTGCTTTTTATTTTCCATTGATGCTGCATAGGATTGAATTTTAAAAATTCTACATTTTCTGTGAATGGTGGCACTGTCTCATCAAAATCTTCTAAAGGAATTGAGCATCTTACTAATCGTATTTTTTCTTGTTTCTCTTATAGACAAGAGATGATTTCCTAGGTCAAGTGGATGTTCCACTTTATCCATTACCGGTTGGTATAGGTGCCCATGATTTTCCTTTTGTGTTTATGTTTTTAATTTAATAAATACTTACATATATACAATATAGGTAATGTAAATAATTGATTTATCACATGTATACTACTTTTATTTATTAAACATACTGTTTTCTAAAAACTCATTTCAGTTTTCCGTTTCCATTTTCTCTTTAAGATTTCCATACATGAACCCCAGTGAGAAATAGAGAATTTCTGATGTTTGTTGGCATTGTGAAAACATTGTGTAAAAAAGATTAGTTGAAAATATTCTGCTGAATAACTAGAATGAGGAGTGCCTAAGCTCTCAGAAGAAAACTAAGGTAGTTTATGACAATAGAAACATAAAACACTGAGAATCAGGACTAAGAATATAGCAAGGAGGAAAACAGATTCAGGAAACATTGTGAAATAGAACATTATTGAATCACATGTCTGACATGGAGGCTTAAGAAAATAAGAAGTAAAGATAATGCAAGTTGAACTTGGAAGATAAGAGTGGCATCTCATATAGAAAAGTGAGGAAGAAAACCCATTTTGTTTTGAAATGCAAAAAATTTACTGTTGGACAGAGTTTTGATAGGAAACAAAGAAAATGAAAGTTTAAAGTAGACTACTGACAGAGAGATAAAAATCAGTTATGTAGGGAAAAGGGACTAGAAAGATTAAGTGTTATCACTGTCCAGGCAACAGCAGAATCTCTGAAAATAATGGATTTTCCTGATAAAACAGATAACAACGGAGGGCCAGCCATTGACTCTCAGTCAACATGAGTGGATCAGAAAAGAAAGAGAAGACAGACAAGGGGAAACAGGAAAAGAACCAAGTAAAATAATGTCATGAGAATTTAAGAAAAGAGTTTCAAGGCAGACTGGGTAGTTAACAATACAAAACATCAGAGAAGAATAATAAAAACTAACAGCTGCTGAATTTTAAAGAAAGAGAAAAAATACTTCTTTTTCAGTCTTTTGAGTTATATTAATTAGCTCTCTACAGTCTTTCCAGAGCATAATCTTTTTTTTTTTTTTTTAAACAGGGTGCAGGACCATAAGCTTTCAGTAATATATTTAATCTAGTCTTACTTTCCAGGCTATTGACTTTTTTGGTCTCCTAGAATTATCTCCGTGCTTTAACCAAGCCAGCCTGCAGACATGTGCATAGTCCATACTGTTTTGGGATGTCAACATAGTAACTACTCTATATTGTTTTTCTGCTTATTGTCTTCTGCCCTCCCTTTGGCTCCACAACCCGCCTGCTCAGCTAGTTTTCTTATGAGTTGTGATGCCGGCTGCAATTCCTCTTGGGCAGGAAAGCGAAAGCGCTGTCAAGTTAGCATTTAATAAACTAAAGCTACTTTTTTTTCTCACTTCCAACTTAAATTATGCCTTAGGTGATAGTTCATGAGTATTCTTGAAAAGTACATGCTTTTGGTGTTATAGATATATTTTGAAAACCCACTATTTTATTCTAGACAGAAAATCCAAGATTGGAGAGACCATATACATTTAAGGATTTTGTTCTTCACCCAAGAAGGTCAGTAAGTATAAAATAATAGCATATTAAATTTTTTATCTCTTCTTTACACCTTACAGTAGCCTCATTAGAAATTCAGGATTTAAACCTCTGTAAATAAGCTACTTCTAAATATTATTATTATTTTTAAAACTTCATTGCTATTTCTGATTAAAAGTACTCTATGCACATTGCAAAACACTCTGAAAATACAGAAAGTGATCACACCCCTTTGGGAAAGATTTGTCCTTCTAATACTTATCAGACCAGAAGGCTAAAATTTGTCATTATTTTATATTTATTTTTTGTCTTAAAGTTTATGTCATATTGTCATACTGTGCTTTAAAAAATCACAAACATGAATTCATCTAAAACCATTATCCAACTCGACGTGCACAAAGCCAATTTCAGAAAAACCTAACTATATTTTGTATACTTTAAAAAGTATTTCAGAAGACTCAAATATTTAGAGAAAATAACATAAGACTGGAATTTAAAACCCAAATAGCATGCTTATAATTCCATTTTTCCAGAGTTACTTGATGTTTGTCAAAAAATTTTAAATTTAAGCTGTAACCAGAACTCCTTTTGATCTTCTATACCACATTGACAAGTAAAATCTAGTCAAAACATGTGTGTGGATTTACTCTCAAAAAGGTCAGACTAAAGCAGAGAAAGGACCTCTGTGAAAGCAACAGTATTTGTCTTGTTTCTTAAACTATAGAATGCATTTGAAAAGGTACTATTGGAACTTAGTAAAATTTTTCACTTAAAGTGATGTTTTTAAGTTACTGTTTGTAATATAAATATTAAAACAAAATGAAAAGGAGTGCTCACTGACTGTTAATATTTACTCTCTATAAAGGAAGTCACATTTAATTTCTGTAGATGTCTGGAATGTAAATCTTTCATCTTTTAATTTTAGACTGATGGTGACATCTGCATATCAGGAATGACTAAATTGTTTTTTCTTATTTGATTGTCCTAGCAGCCTGCTTTTCAATTTGTCACATGCTTTCCAGCTTCTTTATCTTTAAAAAATACAATTTACTTCTTCTGTCTGCAATGAATATTATTGCAAGTGTAGAAAGAACTTTATTCAGATAGAAAATGTACGACTACATTCCTAAATTTGTTTGAGCCCCATTAAGTCAAAACCTTGAGGCTTCTTTTCTAATTGAGAAGACATGAAACATACAATTGTAGAGAAACTTTTCAGCAAAACATTACCTGAGCACATTTTCTGTATCCATCTTTTATAGCCACAAGTCAGAATGTTCACATCTCCTTCAGTATGGAGACACAAGCCACATTAGCAGCCTTGGAAATAAGCATCGGGGATTTCACTGACTACTCGGGAAAGGATACACTGAATGTGCCAAATTCATGAGAACTATACAGAGAAGAGCTAAAAAGATTAGGGGAGGCTTGGGAATGGGGGTAGGTAATCTCTTGAAGACAGAATAAAAAGATTAGGACTCTTGTCTAGAAAGACAAAGGGTAATTGCTACATATCTGATATCTGTAAAAATCATCTCCAAAAAAATCTATATAGAGAGCTGAGACAAGCAAGGATTTCTTAAGTAAATCATAGGATGCTAGAATTGATGAGGGCAATAGATAGAATTAAGCCTTAAATTAGAAGCTTATGAAAGCACTGTAATCGCAGCACTTTGGGAGGCTGAGGTGGGTGGATTGCTTGAGCCCAAGAATTCCAGACCAGCCTGGGCAACATGCAAAACCCTGTCTCTACAAAAAAATACAAAAATTAACTGGGTGTGGTGACGCATGCCTGTAATCCCAGTTATTTGGGAGGCTAAGGTGGGAAGATCACCTGAGCCTGGGAGGTCAAGGCTGCAGTGAACCATGATTGAGCCACTGCACTCCAGCCTGAGCGACAGGGGGAGATGCTGTCTAAAAAAAAAAAAAAAGCAGCAGCAGCAGCAGCTTGTGAAAGACAGGTTTTCAAAAGATTTAAAATATCACTACAGCAAGCAGCAGCCTTTAGCTTAGACAACTAATTATTCAAAGAGGTGATACAATATAAAAATAGATTAGGTAAATTAATGTGTGACAGATTCAAACAGCTGCCAAAGAGATGTAGCAGGTTTCAGACACTTATCAAGCCTTGCCCTCTACTCTTCTGTCATCCAAAAAAATATGGCCAGATTAGTATCCCTAAAGCACATCTCTGAGGATACCTTTCTCTATCCCCCAAATTCTCAGTGATTTACCAAAATATGCAAAATAAAGTCTGAAGTTGTCTGATTTTGCCTGACCTCTGGACCATCCCAACCTCCTATAGTTCCCTTAACATATCCTGTAATCCAGCCAAACTCAACTACTGCCATTCCTTAATTGCACCCGCAGTTTCCCACCTGTTTCCTGGATCTTGCCCTTTTCTCCATTCATAATGCCTTTTCCTCTATTGCCACAGATAAGAATCCTCCCCAATCTCCTAATCCCAACCCAAAGACCAGCTTCTCTTTGACATTGTCTCTGATGGTTCACTTAACTTCCTTAGCATCATCTTTGTGGCATAACAATTATTTATATATGTTTCCCTTTTCTCCACCTTCTATTCCTTTCCCTGGATATCTTCTGCCCTGGAACTTGTTTTTGAACCTCCCTTTGTAGACCCCCTGGTACCTAGTGGGTGTTCATTAAACTCTTATGAATTGAATACTTTTCTCCCTGGTGTTAAAGTTTTATGAATATTTATTTTCTTTTCTACAGTCACAAATCAAGAGTTAAAGGTTATCTGAGACTAAAAATGACTTATTTGCCTAAAACCAGTGGCTCAGAAGATGATAATGCAGAACAGGCTGAGGAATTAGAGGTGAGATTTTATAAATATTTGGTTAAACTAAAAAAAAAAAATTTAACTTCTTATTTTACTGTACTCTGAAGAACAATAACTATTGAATGAAGTTAACGTGTAAATAAAAATTATTTACTTGGACATTTATTTCACCCAAGCATTCATTAATAGTCTTTCCTCTAAGGATATTTCTGTCGAATGAATGGCCATTATTGATGGCCTTCTTAAAGGTTAAGGAGTAGAGAATAGAATATAAATCTAGTTTTTCAAAGTTTTCTAAAACTGTATATTCTCTCCATTAAAGTAAGAACACAATTTAGTATTTTGAAGTTAAATATATGGACATTTTGAGGAGACTCCACTGATTAGGAGCTCTTTTATGAAATTTAAGTCCTGTTAATGTTCTTATTATGGTGGGAGGGCTCATAGGAAAGGAGGGGAATTAGGGAGCAGGAAGAATTTAAGTGATCTAATAAAGAGCCTTCTGTATGTGCGGCAAGTAGAATTTAACAATTTTCATGGATGACAGGATGAGAGGAAAGTCCAGGTCAAAATTTGTGTAGAGTTATGTGCATCTGGAATAAGCAAGTAAGAGGCAGAAAATACGTATTTGGAATAGAATTGGATAGGGTTTGGAGACTGGAATCCTAGTTGCACACTATCTAGCCAGACCTGAGTGAGTCATTGAACTTTTCTGAACCTCAGGATCTTGTTTGCAGAGTGACAGGATGGCACCAGATGACCTCGAGGGTTTCTTCCAGCAGAAAAATTTATGATTTGGAAAGGGGTCAAAAAAACACCTGCTCCTTGAGGTTCCTTTTGAAAGCACGTTATCATCAAAAAGAAGTATTTATTCAGTAGCTGTATTAGTCCATTTTCATACTGCTGTGAAGAAGTACCCGAGACTGGGTAATTTATAAAGCTTTAAAAAGAGGTTTAATGGACTCATAGTTCCACATGGCTGGGGAGGCCTCACAATCATGGTGGAAGGTGAAAGAGGAGCAAAGGCACAGCTTACATGGTGACAGGCAAGAGAGTGTGTGCCGGGGAACAGCCCTTTATAAAACTATCAGATCTCGTGAGACTTATTCTCTGTCATGAGAACAGCACTGGAAAAACTCACTCTCATGATTCAGTTACCTCCCACTGAGTGCCTCCCACGACACGAGGGGATTATAGAAGCTACAATTCAAGATGAGATTTGAGTGGGGACACAGCCAGACCATATCAACAGCAGTTACTGAAAGCAGAGCACACAGCGTATGGCACCAAATCGCTCTGGAGGCTTCTTATTTGGTGCCTTGCTTAACACTTTTGCCTCTTTGACTGAGGGCCTGCTTATGTCTCCATAAGAACAGTGAAGCTGAGGGCCTTCCCCAGGGGCTAGGCTCTACCTCACATGCCCATGTACCTTGAGAAAGAAAGCTCTAGAACAGGTAGTGAATTTGCAGCAGAGCTGTCTGGGAAAATTTTAAATGCACTGAGATTTTGCTTTGCAAGAAAATCCATAATAATAGAAAGATAGAAGGAAGACTTTTTTTTTTTTTTTTCCTGGAGTCAGGGTCTTGCTCTGGGGCCCATGCTGGAGTACCGTGGTGCAATCTCAGCTCACTGCAACCTCCTGCCTCCTGGGTTCAAGCAATTTTCATGCCTCAGTCTCCCAAGTACCTGGGATTACAGGCATGTGCCAGCATGCCTGGCTAATTTTTGTATTTTTAGTAGAGACGGAGTTTTACTATGTTGACCAGGCTGGTCTTGATCTCCTGGCCTCAAGCCGTCCATCTGCCTCAGCGTCCCAAAGTGCTGGGACTACAGGCGTGAGCCACGGTACCCGGCCAAGAAAGAATCTATTTTCTTCACTCACAGTATAGGTAGCCCCTAGTTTGGTGACCAGAGAACTTGTTATCTTCTCAATTCTCTCTTCACTTATTTGATTAACTTTTTCTTATGTATTTTTATCTGATTTTCATATAATAATCATTTTTAAAGTTTTCAAGTATTTATTCAGTAGAAGTTTCTCTACCTGGTTTTTGGTGTACCAGAGTATCTTGCATAATGGAATTCTGTTTGAAATGAAGAATATCTGCTGTAAAGAAAGAAAATTATTTATTTAGTAACTTAAAAAGATTTAACAGCGTTTCATTATTTAGTGACCTGCTCCAAGTTTTGCCCACATGCACGCATCATAGGACCCTATTCACAGTTGAGTTTCTGTGGAGAGAACTGCTTCACTTCATTTTGTGGTCTCATGTCTCAATGTTTGAATTCCCTCAGAATGCACCTTATAATTTCAGGAGATGTAAGCGTGTAGGAGTTTATTTATGAAAGGCCCTAGGAATTCAAACACATGAATCTGTGCTTATTTACCTTCTGTGTAGCTAATGACTAGAGGAGTCTTGCCTAGTCCTTTGACAGCTAGTTTGTGACTGTATAAATTCTACTAGGAAAACAATTGTAATTTTGAAATGAAGCTCACTCTTAGGTAGTTTGTATTCTGTAGTAAAGTATGACTATAATAGATAATTATGTAACGGTTGATTTTTGTACCATTTGCAACTTTAGGTTTAGTTGTATGTATTTTGCAAAATTAACATATAAAATGTTGGTTGTACCTCTGAATACTTTCTTCCTGACCCTCTTTGACTTGATTAAATTGTGAGCGATTACATACTGGCTTTGAGGTTAGAAATTAAATAAGGTTCATTGATACTTAGAAAGTTATTTTATAAAGAATAGCAGCTGATACATATTTAATAGGAAGGCCTGGTATCCAAAAATTGACTGTATAGAGGCATTTTATCCAGTCTTTCTAAACAGTGTTTGATTGTACAACTCTACTTCCACGAATTTAAGATAGGTTTTTCTTAAGCCTTTAATTAAATTAATTTTTGTCCTTTCTCTTCTTGAATTCACTCAGATAATATAAATACATTAAGCAGACCTTTAAGGGAGAAATCTCTAAGAAGCTTTAAAAGAAATATTCTTTTGGTACCATTTTTCGAGTGCTGAGTGTTTTTATAATCCTTTACAGCAGTAGTGAGAACTATTTTATTAATAAATTGTATTAATCTTAAAGGAAATTAATCAATGATTATGTTCAACCAAAAAATGTTAAGCTTATATTTTCTCACAAAATATAAACACTTAACTTACATGTTTTTGGGATTGAAACCAGAAAAATGCAATCTGATTCAATATATGCAAGACTAATTTTTAGGTATGCTAGATCCTATATTATCATAGTTTAAGGGAAAGGAAAAGAAAGAAGGAAGATAAACATGAATGGGCAGACAAAGTAAGAGGTTATAGGGAAAGAAGAGAGTGGAATTTGGGCAATAAAAAGAAAAAAAAAACAGATAACAATTCTTATAAAAGCGGTAAAAAGGAAAAAAAAAGAGAGAAGAAAGGTTAGGCACAGTGGCTCACACTGGTAATCCCAGCACTTTGGGAGACTAAGGCAGGAGGATTGCTTGAGCCCAGGAGTTTGAGACCAGCCTGGGCAACATAGGCGAGACCCCATCTCTACAAAAAAAAAAATGAAAAATTAGCTCGGCATGGTAGTATGCACCTAAAGCCTAAGGTGAAAGATTACTTAAGCTCAGGAGGTCAAGGCTGCAGTGAGCTGTGATGGCACCACTGCACTTCAACCTGGATGTCAGACCGTGTGGAGAGAGAGAGAAGAAAGAAAGAGAAATTCCCATCCAGACCTTTTCTCCCAAAATAATTTATTCTGTCTTCTTGCTCCTCCACTACCCATCACCTTCTATACAGAGCTAGCCAAAATAGATCAACCTTGCTGCAGAAATCCCCTATCCATTTCTCCCTGCTACCAAAACACATTCCTTTCCTTCCCAACTCTTCCCTGAGGCCTCGTTTTCAAGTCTAGCCTTCCAACGTAGAAGAATTCTCTTCCATCTTGGAAGCAATCCACTGCCTGTCACACAACAGTCATTTACTGCTGATCTCCAGGCCTATAACAGAAACTCTGTGTATCTAAGGAAATTATTCTGTGTCAGTTATCCAAGTACCGAACATGTTTGCCACTTTGTCATTTGCTCTTTATAACATATATATATGTTAGTAGTTTTGGCCATACACAAATTTGGGTGTTTTGTTGTCAAATTTATAGATCTTCTCTTTCATGCCTTCAAGGTTTGGTGTCATACTTAACAGTGTCCCACTCTTAAAATGTATTTCTAAAATTTTCAGCAGTTTGTTATTAATACTTTTTGGTTTCACTTTTAAACGTTTAGATATTATTCCGTCTGTAACTTTTCCTGATACAAGGCATGAGGTAGGGATTCAAGTGAAGTTTTTTCCAAATGGGTGCCCATTTTCTAAGTAATTTTTTTTTTTTTTTTTTTAAACAGAGTCTTGCTCTATCGCCCAGGCTAGAGTGCAGTGGTGCAATCTCTGCCTCCCGGGCTCAAGCAATTCTCCTGCCTCAGCCTCTCAAGTAGCTGGGATTACAGGTGCCTGCCACCATGCCTGGCTAATTTTTGTATTTTTAGTAGAGACAGGGTTTCACCATGCTGGCCAGGCTGGTCTCAAACTCCTGACCTCAAGTGACCTGCCCACCTCGGCTTCCCAAAGTGCTGAGATTTCAGGTGTGAGCCACCATGCCCGGCCAAAATTCCTATAAAGTTGAGTTTCTTTCTGGGCAAATCTATTGAGCTGCCTGTCAATGCATGCACCAGAACCACACAGCTTTAATTGTTATCATTTATAATATGATTTATAATATGTTTTATCTGGTAGGGTTGATCTTCACTTCTTGCTCTTCTTTTTAAAAATTGTGCTGCTTATTCCTGCTTGTTTATGTTTCTATTTGAACTTGAGAATTGCCTTGTATCTTTTTTTTTTTTTTTTTTTTTTGAAACGGAGTTTTGCTCTTGTTGCCCAGGCTGGAGTGCAGTGGCGTGATCTTGGCTCACCGTAACCTCTGCCTCTCGAGTTCAAGCAATTCTCCTGCCTCAGCCTCCCAAGTAGCTGGGATTATAGGCACCCGCCACCACGCCCAGCTAATTTTGTATTTTTAGTAGAGACGGGGTTTCTCCATGTTGGTCAGGCTGGTTTCAAACTCCCAACTTCCGGTGATCTGCCTGCCTCGGCCTCCCAAAGTGCTGGAATTATAGGCCTGAGCCACTGCACCTGGCCTATTCTTCTAAAATCATAATGTAGTTTTGTTGGAATCTTGGTAAATTTGTAGATTAACGTGGGAAGAATTGACACCTTTGTGAGACTGAGTCTCACAAAGATTAAACTATGAGACTGCCAAGATTAAACTATGTCTTTCCTTTATTTAAGTCTTCTTTTGTGTCCTTTTGGGAGCATTTTTAAGTTTTCTTCACCAGTTTATTTCAGTTTCTAATGCTTTCCTAACCAATCGGTATTTAATAGAATCTTTGACCAACTGCCTTTTCTTTTATGAGGTTTCTCATATAAAAGCATTAACTCTTGGTACTCTTTTCTATCAGTTCCTACTTTAACTGCCCTAACTAAGGCTTTATGTTAATTTTGCCGCTTGTTAGTCTCTGAGAAACCAAACTTCCAGTGCATTTTTTTTTTTAATCTTTCTTTGGCTGTTTTATGACTTGATAAAATGCCTTGCCTTGGTCTGGAGGAGAAAGAGAGAAATCAGACAAGGGAATCAGAATGACTTTTCCATCACTAGAGAATTCACTGTAGCAGTTATTTCTAAATCATTTGCCGTTCCGTATCTTGCCCCTCTATGCGTTTGACCTTTATTTAATGATTTTTTCCATGTGTCAGATAGTTATTGATTTCTACCATAAACAAGGTGCTTTCTCTGCAGGAAAGACAATGACCAATGAGAAATAATCCTTGCCCTCATTCAGCTGATAATTTAGAGAATAGCCTAAGATTACACGAGTAGTTTAAACTATGCTTCTCAATTTCTCAGTGCTTTCCAACTTTCCATGGTTGTTTATTTAAAAGATTTTTTGTCCTTTTTTTCTTTTAGATTTTTTTAAATTTTATTTTTGATTGACAAACAATAATTGTATATATTTATGGAGGACAATGTGATGTTTTGGTATATACTTACAATGCAGAATGATGAAATCAGGCTAATTAAATCTGTGACCTCACATACTTTCATTACTTTTTTGTTATGAAAATTTTAAATAGATTTGTCTTAAAGTTCTGTTTTATTGTTGTTTTGAGACAGGGTCTGGTTCTGTCTCCCAGGCAGAACCTGGTGGAAACTTTACAGGCTGGTGCCTTTAAACTTTTTTTTTGAAAAAGTTTTGGACAATTTTAGACAAAATTTCAATGGTTATCATTTTTGCAAAAAAAAAAAAAAGTCTTCATTATCATAAAGTATATTATGGTCTTAAAAATTGAGGATTGTTAATTCTGTCTATGCATAATTTCTAAAACTTGGTATAATAAATCTCTTTTTAAATTTCCTTTAGCATATAATTTCTAAAGTTAAAAAAATCATGCATAAACTTAATTGCTACCATCGTGTTTTTCAGCCTGGCTGGGTTGTTTTGGACCAACCAGATGCTGCTTGCCATTTGCAGCAACAACAGGAACCTTCTCCTCTACCTCCAGGGTGGGAAGAGAGGCAGGATATCCTTGGAAGGACCTACTATGTAAACCATGAATCTAGAAGAACACAGTGGAAAAGACCAACCCCTCAGTATGTGCTGATGGCTTTCACAGTTTTAATCTGGAAGCACTTTAACTACGAATTTTCATTTTGAAGTCATGTCTCAGATGGATTCATAACAGTATAGTGATCCATAAACTATAAGAATACTAGGATTTTTATGGCCCAGGACTTTGAAAATCCTAACTCTGCTGTTTCTTTTTTTAAATGACTTGATAATATTCAAAATTATTTGACACTAGATACTACCCTTTTAATTGTCTCTTAATTTTAGTAAGTTTTGAATTATTATATAGCCACAAATGGTATATATTTCTTTTTAGGCTGAATTAGAAGTCTTGGAGAATTTTTATAGTTTATTATTAAAATATAATAAAATGTTAATTTCTACAGTACTCTTTTTAAAATATAAATTATTTGTAAAATATAAAGGACTCAATAATAAGGGTCTTACGTTAAACACCCATTTGATAGTCTGGTCAATATCCACACAACTTCCAGCATGCACAGGTCAAAGATGGAACCACTTTCAACATATTCTAACTTATGTCTCCTCAGTGATTTTTTTTTATTATCATTAAACTGTGTATACATTTATAAAATCACCCATTCATATTTATTCTCAAATCCCCTTCCATTTTTCCTTCCATATAGTCTTATAAAGTCTTCCTTTAGTCTTCTGTTTGAAACATACTTGTAATTTTTTAATGTGTTCATTAGTCTCCTAATTTTTGGCTTTGATATTTTGTGCCTGATATATGCCAGGCACTTCCATAGATATTTTCTGTTCTCATATCCTTCCAAAACAAATCAGCAATTCAAGTACTTCATGGCACAGAAGCTTCAGTCTTCATAGAGTGACATACAGACTGCAAAGCTGAAGACACTATAAAATTCTGCAGAATTGCCCTGTTGCATACCTCAGTATTATGGCAAGCCTTACTTGAGCAAAATGACATTTCTTTCACTGTGGCTGATGTCATTTTCAGGTAGCCAAAATCAAATATTTAGGGGGAAAAAAAACAAGCTTTCCCTTAGAACTATGTATCAAAGTTATGTTTTCTTTAGCTACAGTGCAGTAAGAACTGGTCTTCCAACTAGCCTGAGCTCATGTGGCATTAAATAAATTAACAATAATTTTATTATTAAATATTTGAACAAAATTCTTGATCTGATAGACTGGTTATATTAAATGCAAATAATTAGAATAATATAAATGACTGGGGTAAGGGTGTTCAATCTGATTTTTTTTTTTAATTTTTGTGGGTCCCTAATAGGTATATATATTTGTGGGGTACATGAGATGTTTTGATGTAGGCATGCAAGGCATAATAATCACATCGTGGAAAATGGGGTGTCCATCCTCACAAGCCTGTATCCTTTTTCTTACAAACAATCCAATTACAGTCTTCTGGTTGTTTTTAAATGTACAATTCAATTATTATTGACTGTAGTCACCTGTTAAGCTATCAAATACTAGGTCTTATTCATTCTTTCTATTTTTTTTTAAATGCTCATTAACCGTCCAATCTGATTTATTGTACTCCTAAGCTCAGACAAATCTTTACTATTACCGTTTTCAGAACAGGCTCATGACTGTATATTACCAAAAACAGATACCATTCCTAACAGATATGTAATTCCTAAGCTTTTCATTATAAAATTCTTACACCATCTTTCATTCTGCCCTTCACATTGATGCATGGAGTACTCTACTCCTGGCTTAAGACCAATTCTAGAAAATATACTATCTGATTCACAAAAATGTATGTGTAACTCTATTACTCTTATAATAACATGGCAAAATAATGTAATGAAATAATCTGTGAAGCTCTCTGATAGTCATTCATTCAGCAAATATTTTTGAGTACCTATATGTGTTGGACATTATCCTAGACACAGTGACACTTAAATATCAAATCAGACATGTTGTACCTTTCCACAAAACCTTAAACTCAGTAAGGTACTCTAAATATACCAGTCTGCCTACCCATGATTGAATCTATGCATATTGAAGTAGCCTTTGATCAAAGACAATACTTTTTTTTTTTTTTTTTTTTTTTTGAGACGGAGTCTCGCTCTGTCACCCAGGCTGGAGTGCGGTGGCGTGATCTCGGCTCACTGCAAGCTCCGCCTCCCGGGTTCACGCCATTCTCCTGCCTCAGCCTCCCAAGTAGCTGGGACTACAGGTGCCCACCACCACGCCTAGCTAATTTTTTGTATTTTTAGTAGAGATGGGGTTTCACCGTGTTGGCCAGGATGGTGTCAATCTCCTGACCTCATGATCCGCCCGCCTCGGCCTCCGAAAGTGCTGGGAGTACAGGCGTGAGCCACCGCGCCCGGCCAGACAATACATTTTTTAATTGATCTAATGTAGATTTTTTTTTCAACGATCACAGAATCTTTGACAATCATTTTAACTGCTTAAGACATGGATGATGACTTTTTATACTTCCAATATAGGGACAACCTAACAGATGCTGAGAATGGCAACATTCAGCTGCAAGCACAACGTGCATTTACCACCAGGCGGCAAATATCCGAGGAAACAGAAAGTGTTGATAACCGAGAGTCTTCCGAGGTATAAGTAGTTTCCTAGTTCTCCTTGATAGACACGTTATAGCAATAAAGTATGTGTGGCTCAAGCTTATTCTGTTCATTTTAGAACTGGGAAATTATAAGAGAAGATGAAGCCACCATGTATAGTAGCCAGGCCTTCCCATCACCTCCACCATCAAGTAACTTGGATGTTCCAACTCACCTTGCAGAAGAATTGAATGCCAGACTCACCATTTTTGGAAATTCAGCCACAAGCCAGTCAGCATCCAGCTCAGTAAGACGCTCTTAGATTTTGTTATGGCTTCAGTAGTTTATATTATGCTTATTATACCATTCAACAACTAACTTTTATGTAAAATTTTGTCTTAAATGCAATAATATGTAATAATATGTTAGGGATCTTGGGAGTTTATAACGTGGGCATTTTTCAAATATCCCCATCAATAGTATGGACCAGAGTCATGGCATCCAAATTTCCGTTATGTGAATACCCTCCAGACAAAAATCACTAGGGACACATTTGTAATTGAACAACTTGGGTTTATTATTCATTTCGGCAAGGGAGAACACGCACCATGGTGTTTTGGTAGCAGAATGTTAGAAAAGACTTCAAGGATTTGGGCTCCCGTTAGGTGATTTTGAAGAGGGTTTTAGGAAGCAGGACTTTGCTCTGTGTGAGATGCTGTTGGGAAGCCCGGATAATTCTATGATTTTGCATCTCAAATCTTATCCGTAGTGAGGCTAAAGCAATGATTAGCAAAGTAGAACAGTCACTCACATTTGCCAGGAGAGGGAAATGTTTGGTATTTTGTGGCTTGGACAGTGTTCATGTTTTGTCTATATTCAGCTACAATGACAGAGTGGTCTTGATTTTGTCTTGATCTTACCTATGAGTGCCAGGCCAGCTCCTGGATGTTAGGGACTGCTTTTCTCTCTCCCAGTTATGCTGAACTTGGTTTTTTGTTTGTTTGTCTGTTTGTTTGTTTTGAGACGTCTCACTCTGTCACCTAGACTGGAGTGCAGTGGTGCTGTCTTGGCTCACTGCAAACTCCACCTCCCAGCTTCAAGCGATTCTCATGCCTCAGCCTCCTGAATAACTGGGATTACAGGCACACACCACCACGCCCAGCTAATTTTTGTATTTTTAGTAGAGATGGAGGAGTTTGACCCTGTTGGCCAGGCTGGTCTTGAACTCCTGGCCTCAAGTGATCCACCCGCCTCAGACTCCCAAAGTGCTGGGATTACAGGCATGAGCCACTGCTTCTGACCTGAAGTTTTAACATGATATCACAAATGTCACCAACAGGTATATATGAATAAGAACTGATATACTTTGACTAAACAAGGAAATCGATGACATTTTCACTTCAGCCACTACTGTAAAAACTGTTGTCCATAGGGTTCAGAATAAAGTATTCCAGCATATGCTTCCATGATGAGAACTTCATAGCTAGCTGTCTAAACTCTCTCATCAGGGGAGATTCAGTAGGAGACAAAGATTACTCTCTGAGAGGATGCTATTTGTCATTTCCAGTTGAGGTTTCCATGCTTTTCATTTAGTTAGTAAATATTTATTGAGAGCAAGTAAATATTTATTGAGAGCAAGGTACTGTATGCTAGTTACTGAGGATACATCAGTAAATAAAATTAACAATATCTCCTGCCTTCATGGGACTTATATTCTAGTGCAGAGGAAAGCAAACTACAACCAGTGGGCCAAATCGGCAGCTGCCTGTTATGAATAATTACCACTGGAATACAGCCACATCGTTTGTTTAGATATTGCCCATCTCTGCTTTCACACTACATCATCTCAATTGAGTAGTTACAGCAGCAACCATATGGCCCACAGTCAGTATTTACTGTCTGGACCTTAACAGGAAATGTGTGCTAACCTCTGCTCTAGCATCTTCTTCAAGAAGCTTCACAGTAGATAGTTGTACGTGAATATGAATATCCACCAGTAAATCTGCCTGCTTGCCTCTTGCCCTTCCTTTCTTCCATTTGTCTGTTCTGTCTTCATTCATTTCATTTTTTCACAGGAGGGTAGGACAGGGCAGTCAAAGACCTAAAGAATAAACTACATTAGGCCGGGCACGGTGGCTCACGCCCATCATCCCAGCACTTTGGGAGGCTGAGGTGGACAGATGGCTTGAGGTCAGGAGTTCAAGACCAGCTGGGCAACATGGCGAAACCTTGTCACTACTAAAAATACAAAAATTAGCTGGGTGTGGTGGTGCACACCTGTAATCCCAGCTACTCAGGAGGCTGAGGTAGAAGAATTGCTTGAACCCAGGAGGCAGAGGTTGCAGTGAGCCAAGATCGCACCATTGCACTCCAGCTTGGGTGACAGTGAAACTCCGTCTCAAGAAAAAAAAAGAATAAACTATATTGATTCACTGGTGATAAATCACATGCAATCCCATCCCTTTTCTTCCTGGTATTTTTTTTTTTTTTTTACTTAAAGTAATACCTGGCAACCATATAGTGTGATACTATGCAGCCATTGAAGAGAACAAGGTGGGCTCAAGTGTATATGTCAGATGGAACAATCCCTAAGAGCTGCTGGTAAATGAAAAACAGCAAGGTACAGAACAGTGTGTTTGTTATTCCAGGATTTATGTAAATTACTTAAATGCAGAGCATAAATGTGTGTATGATTTACTCAAGAACGAAACAGGAAACTAGTAACGTTGCTTGCCTCTGAAGAGAGGCAAAGAATGAACAGGATATATACTGTTTGTACCTTTTGGTTTTTTGAGATAGGATCTCACTCTGTCGCCCAGGCTGGAGTGCAGTAGCATGATTATAGCTCACCACAATCTCAAACTTCTGAGCTCAAGGGATTCTCCCACCTCAGCCTCTAGAGTAGCTGGTACTACAGGCACATGCCATTGTACCCCCACTAATTTTTAAAAAAATTTTTGTAGAGACTGGGTATAGTATTGTTGCCTAGGCTCCTTTCGAATTTTATAACATGGATGATTGTTATCTATTTTTAAAAAATATTTTTAAAGCACTGTATGGTTGCGGTTACAAATTGAAATTGTATTTAGGTATATAAAATAAAACTTAAGGCTGGGCATTGTGGCTCACACCTGTAATTCCAGCACTTTGAGAGGCCAAGGCGGGCAGATCACATGAGGTCAGGAGTTCAAGACCAGCCTGGCCAACATGGCGAAACCCCGTCTCTATTAAAAATATAAAAATTAGCCGGGTACAGTGGCACGTGTCTGTAATCCCAGCTACTCAGTAGGCTGAGGCAGGAGAATTGCTTGAACCTGGGAGGTGGAGGTTGCAGTAAGACAAGATCATGCCTCTGCATTCCAGCCTGGGTGACAGAGCAAGACTCTGGCTCAAAAAAATAAGTAAGTAAAATAAATAAATAAATAATAAATAAATAAAAATTAAATTTTCCATCTTACCACTAGTGTATGCTCCCTCAGTCACTATTAGTGGTCAAAGACTAAAGAATAAATGATATTGATTTGCTGGTGATAAATCACATGCATACATATATGGAAACTTTTTCTGTATATTCATAAACATGAATGCATACACATATATTTGTAGGTGATTTTTTAGCCTGAGATCATCTTAAACATACTTTTTGGTAACTTGCTTTGTTCACTTGCTGTCTCTTAGACATTGAACCATTTCAGTATATATAGATGTACTCCTTTAGAAACCAACTAAAACAATCATTAAACTCTGGCATATTCCATTGTACAAGTCGTCCTTAAGGTATTTCACCAGTCTCCTATTAAAAGACTTTAGATTGTTTACAGTACTATTATAAACAGTACTACAGTGGATATTCTGATTTAATTTGTACGTGCATTGTAAATTTTGATGTCGTGAAATAACAAAACTAAGATATTTCGGATAGTGATAATAGCATGAATAGAAAAACATAAGGAAAGAATGAACAAGAGATTTCCAGGAAACAAGTAGTCTGGAAAGTCCAGGGGGTGGATTGCAAAGTGGGAAGTGGCAGAAGAAGTCAGAAAGAGGCAGGTCATGGTGCTCAGGAAGCATTGTTTTCTGTGCTGTCATGGGCTTCAGCTCCAGAATGACAGGACTGGCTGTGCACTGCAGGATGCTCTGAACCTGCAGCGTGCAGCATGGAGAATGGACTTAAGGAAGTAAGACTTGCAATGAGGAAACCTATTAGGATATGGCTGCCATTGTCATCGAAGTGACAAAAGATGAAAACTTGAAGTTAAAACAACAATAAAACTAGTAACTAAAGTGGAGAGAGAGTGCATTTGAGAATAGTTTCTGTGAGACATTCAAGAGAAGGTGTCCAGGAGGCAGTCCAGCACCCGGGGCGTGGGAGCTGGATGTGTGAAGGTGTCCACGTAGGGGGCTGAGAGCGACCACGTGCCTCAGCCTGCAGTCTCGACAGCTGCATCCTAGCCAGCCTTCTCTTCCCTGTCATACTTACCCTCACTACCTTAGTTGATGCTCAGAGACAAATCACAAATCTCAAGGTATTCTCCTTCTGTTGTCTTGTTTTTTTACAAGAATCATTCCAGCAGAAGAGGCAGCTTACAAGCCTATACTTTTGAGGAACAACCTGCACTTCCTGTGGTGAGTTTTACCCTCTCCCATCAATCAATAAAAATATAAAACTCAGCATCTCTTTTTATTTTTTATTATTTAGAAGACGAAGTGTGAACGTTTGCCTTACAGGGAACTAATACAGCAGAGAATGTAGGCTCCAGGTGGTGATGTTCAGGGAAAGGCCTCAAAGACAAAACATGCAGAACTGTCTCTCCCATGTTAAAAGCAAAGTCTCTGCATACTGGTGACTGTGGGTGGTATCTGGGCTTGTCGGTTGAAGCGCCGTGCTGGCTAGAGGTGGTCCGCTGCATGCAGCATACAATTCAGGATCACTGTGTCCAATTGCCGATGCTCTGCGTAAGCACATGGCATCCAGCAGCCATGTCTGCCCTGTACATGAAGCATCGCCAGGGTTTCATCACTCAGGTGTGCACTGGCATTGACACGCCTGGCGGCCAGGCTGGAGTTTATCAGTCCCTGGTCTGTTTCTTCCCTGCAGTATCACATCCACCAGTCTACTAAGGCCTTCTGCTTCCTGCTCAGTGCTGTCCCAGTCACAGGCTGGATGGCAGCTTGAACCTTAACCCTGCCTCCATCCTCTTCCTGACACAAGCCTCACTACTCTGAGTTTGTCTCCCTTTTCCAGAGACCCTACTTGTTTTTGAAACTAAAGTAAAACTCCCAGGCTCCCAGCCTCTTCAGCCTACCCTTCTCCTTATCCCCCAACAGAAGCCTCCTGCTGCCTTCATTCCTATCTATGCTTTTTCTTCCAAGCAGACTGTTCCCATGTCCTGATTCTCTCCCGCTTCTGAGTCTGCGTGCATTCCATTTCCCTGCTTGGAATGGCTTTCTCATTTTCTTCCCCAACCATCTGGAATTTGGAATGGCAGTCTAGATATCAGCTTTGAAAAACAGGGTATGTTCTAGGACAGCAATGCAGAGGCTTCAAAATCCTCAGCCCATGAGTGGTTTATCTGTCTGAATAACACCCTGCACTAAGAATGGGACACAGATCCTGTGCTGAGGAATGAGACGTCACCCACCTATGCATCCATTGCTCTGGTCAATATTGACCATCAACAAGAGGACAGATGCCATTGAAAGACTACCTTCGCCGGCCTTACTGTCACTCACTGTCATCTGTCCAGCCTCCTCCATTAGATCAGAGCCTGCTCAAGTCGAGTTCCTGGTATTTTTCCCTCTGCACCTTATAATGTCCTCTATACAATGAATATGTGGAAGTTCTCATTGACTGACAGACATTCACCCAAGACACTACTTTAGGTGCTTCGGATGAGCAGCAGAATCTTGAGATGATTTATATTTTATGTACCAGAAAAGTTGTTTCCATGCCTTTTTTTCCCCTCAATACATTGATTGGGTTTTTTTTTTTAAGAGCTGTCTTGGAGTGTAATTTACATACCATAAAATCCAGCCATGTTTGATCATACAATTAAAGAGTTTTTGTAAATGTATACAGTTATGGAGACATCACCACAATCAAGTTTAAGAACCTTCTATCAGCCCGAAAAGTTCCCTCAATCCCTATGCCTACTCTCAGTTGCAAGGAACCACTCATCTGCTCTCTATTGCTACAGTTTTGCCTTTTCTAGAAATCTCACGTAAAGGGAGTTGTAGGGTGTAAGCTTATGTGTCTGACCTTTTTCACTTAGCATGCTGTTTTTCACATAGATCCATGTTATTGCATGCCTCTATTAGTGCACGGTATTCCATTGTAGAGATATATCCACTACATTTATCTGTTCACCAGCTGATGGACATTTGTACAACTGGGCAGCATTTAAATCCATCATTTTGTGATCTAACAGTTCATCACAACTGTCAGCAAAGTATGTAGGGCTCCTGTGTATCTAGTGAGCGGTGTCTTCAGTGTGGAGACTGGTGGTGTTGGTTTTTATGTTGTAAGACACCTTAAGGAGCCACACCAAACCAGGTCTAATCTGCTTCAAAATGACAACAGGAAGGCCAGATTTAGGACTTTTTTTTTTTTTTTTTTTTTTTTTGGAGACAGAGTCTTGCTCTGTTGCCCAGGCTGGAGTGCAGTGGCGCAATCTCAGCTCACTGCAACCTCCGCCTCCTGGGTTCAAGCGATTCTCCTGCCTCAGCCTCTTGAGTAGCTGGGACTGCAGGCATGGACCACCACGCCCAGCTAATTTTTGTGGGTTTTTTTGAGTCAGAGTTTTGCTCTGTTGCCCAGGCTAGAGTGCAATGGTGCGATCTCAGATCACTGTAACCCCTGCCTCCCAGTTCAAGCAGTTCTCCTGTCTCAGCCTCCTGAGTAGCTGGGATAGGTGCCCACCACCATGCCCAGTTAATTTTTTTTTTTGTATTTTTAGTAGAGACGAGGTTTCACCATGTTGGCCAGGCTGGCCTCAACCTCCTGAACTCAGGTGATCCACCCACCTCCGCCTCTCAAAGTGCTGGGATTATAGGGGTGAGCCACTACACCCAGCCTGGATTTAGGACTATTTTAAGTAAGCCTGGAAATAACCAAACCTCTCTTTACTCATTTTTAACAAACTATGATAAATAGCATCTCCTAGCTTTTAGAGAAACAAGGCAGGAGTAACCCTTGATTCAGCAGATAAGCATGATTTCTGTTGTTAGCTTACCTGGGTTCAAATCTCAGCTCCATTCCTTAGAAGCAATGTCGCTTAACAGGTTAATTCCATCACTCTCGGCCTTTTGGCTAAGACCAAGTGTAGTAGCAAGTTACTTCTATATTGTAAGCTTCTGTTTACTCATCAGTAAAATGAGCCAGTATTAGTAATTATCTCATTGAAATTCGGGTGGGAAATAAATGACATTATCCGTGTTAAACAGAGCGTGTGCTTGTTATTGTTGGGATGTTTTATTAGGGTTGTTATCACTCTCAACATTATTGTTCTAGTGTTTTTTTTCCCCAAGTGAAATACTGTACACTTTATTTTGCACATTTTAAAATATTTGAAATGTGGTTTACTTCACTAAAATGTATAATTTACCCATTTTTATTATAATACATGGTTTTAGTTCAAAATAAAATATGAATTGTTTAAAAGCAAGCAAGTAGTGAAGAAGGGATGTGGTGCTTTTCAAAGGATTCTTTCTTGTTAATATTTAAGTCTTCTGGTCAGGCACAGTGGCTCATGCCTGTAACCTCAGCATTTTGGGAGGCTGAGGCAGGTGGATCACTTGAGGTCAGGAGTTCAAGACCAGCCTGGCCAATATGGTGAAACCCTGTTGTTACTAAAAATACAAAAACTAGCTGCGTGTGTTGGCACATGCCTGTAATCCCAGCTACTCGGGAGGCTGAGGCACGAGAATAGCTTGAACCCGAGAGGCAGAGGTTGCAGTGAGCCAAGATTGCACCACTGCATTCCAGCCTGGACAACAGAGCAAGACTCTGTTTCTCTCTCGCGCTCTCTCTCTCTCTATATATATATATATTTCTAGAAAAGGCAAAATTGTAGCAACAGAGAGCAGATGAGTGGTTGTTTCCAGCTGAGAGTAGGGATAGGGATGGAGGGAACTTTTGGGGGTGATAGAAGGATTCTTAAACTTGATGTATTTAATTCTTCTGTTATGCTTCACTGTAGCTTTTGCCTACTTCATCTGGATTACCACCAGGTTGGGAAGAAAAACAAGATGAAAGAGGAAGATCATATTATGTAGATCACAATTCCAGAACGACTACTTGGACAAAGCCCACTGTACAGGTATCCTGCATTTTGTTCACTTGCTTTCTTACAGGATTTCAACTGTCACATCCCTGTGTCAACTAGAACATCACTTTGTAGTATACGCTGGATACTTCTAGAATCTTCTTTTTTTTTTTTTTTTTGAGATGGAGTCTCGCTCTTGTCACCCAGGCTGGAGTGCAATGGCGTGATATTGGCTCACTGCACCTCTGCCTCCTGGGTTCAAGCAATTCTCCTGCCTCAGCGTCCCAAGTAGCTGGGACTACAGGCGCACGCCACCACGCCCAGCTAATTTTTGTATTTTTAGTAGAGATGGGGTTTCACTATGTTGGCCAGACTGATCTGAAACTCCTATCGCAGGTGATCCACCCACCTCAGCCTCCTAAAGTGCTGGAATTACAGGCATGAGCCACCGTGCCTGGCCGTAGCATCTTCTAATTATTTATTTTCTGACACTGATGTTAAGTGTCTGCCATTCCCTATGAATCTCTAATATACACGAATTACCACTTGTTATTATATAAAACAAGTTCAAATGAGAATAAGGAAAAAGCAAATGATCTAGTTTTGGGGTATTTTTGTAATTTGAATAGTTAAGATTGTTATTTTAACTGAAAGATAATCTTGTCGATTGGTATCTATTAAAGAAGTTTATGCTGGGCTGGGCAAGGTGGCTCATGCCTGTAATCCCAGCACTTTGGGAGGCCTAGGCGGGTGGATCACCTGAGGTTGGGAGTTCAAGATCAGCCTGATCAACACGGAGAAACCCCATCTCTACTAAAAATACAAAAATTAGCCAGGTATGGTGGCGCATGCCTGTAATCCCAGCTACTCGGGAGACTGAAGCAGGCGAATCACTTGAACCCAAGAGGCGGAGGTTGCAGTGAGCCGAGATTGTGCCATTGTGCTCCAGTCTGGGCAACAAGAGCGAAACTCCATCTCAAAAAAAAGAAGTTTATGCTGATGACACCTCCCCTTGGCAACAGTTTCATCTATAATATTTCCTTGTAAGTGTTTAGCAAAATATTTATTTTCTCTTACCACCGTGTCTCTTGTTGAGAAATATTTTAGCACTGAAAAGTGCAGAGAATAATATAGCAAATGCACATATTCTTTACACTCAGAATTACCATCATTAACAAGTTACCATATTAATTTCCAGACATTTTATTTTTAAAAATAGAGTCTTATAGATTAAGCTAAATTCCTTTTAGCCAAGCTCTTGGTCCCATTCCCCAGGGGGAACCACCATCTTGAATTTCTTGTGTATTCTTTTAGCCTTTTTTATATACTTACATAAAGAGCTTTAAAAATGTAAAATAAAATTAGCCGGGCATGGTGGCACATGCCTGTAATCCCAGCTACTTGGGAGGCTGAGGCCGGAGAATTGATCGAACCTGGGAGGTGGAGCTTGCAGTGAGCCAAGATTGCGCCCCTGTACTCCAGCCTGGGCAACAGAGCAAAACTCCGTCTCCAAAAAAAAAAAAAAGAAAAGAAAATGTAAAATATTGTTTATATGCCTGTGTTTCTAATTTTGCAATGAGAGAACACTCATTTTATTTTACAGAATGAGGTCCTGCTCAATTAAAAAAAACTTTGCCCCATAAGTCTACACCTTTTTTTTGCTTAACATTGTTTTAAAGCTCTGTCTATATTGTTATTTATAGATCCAGTGTATTTCTCTTAACTACTAATATTCCGTCATGAATATGTTACATTTCACTTATCCATTTCTGTGGTAGATATTTGCCATTCATTTTGTCTGCCCAACATTTGAATCTACTTCTGTGTATGAGGAATTCCCCATCCTATGAGTTTTGGGAAAACAAAGACGACCTCCTCCCATAGGCACCAGAGCTCCCCTTGCAGCTAGGACTTGCGCTTGTGGACCTCGCTCCTTCAGTCAGATGCACCCACAGCAGACTGTTAACTACCATCTTACTGCTTGAGAATGAGTTGAGAAATTATAAATTACTGTAAAAATAAAGTTATACAAAATAATGTATTGGAAAAGTGTTATTAAATGTTATTAAATGTAATGCATTATTAAAATGTTGGGAAAATATTAATATGCCATAACTACATTTGAAAATGAGCCTCAAATATGTAGAATCTCTTTAATGGAGGGTGTGTATTCTATTTGCAGGTTAGGTTACCTTTTTAACTGCATCTATTTGTGAGTTTTCTCTCTATAAAATATTACAGTATGATTTCATTAATGTGCTAGGCCACAGTGGAGACCAGTCAGCTGACATCAAGCCAGAGTTCTGCGGGCCCTCAATCACAAGCCTCCACCAGTGATTCAAGCCAGCAGGTGACCCAGCCATCTGAAATTGAGCAAGGATTCCTTCCTAAAGGCTGGGAAGTCCGACATGCGCCAAATGGGAGGCCTTTCTTTATTGACCACAACACTAAAACCACCACCTGGGTAACTTTGACACTCTTCCATTTAAATGTATAACAACAATAATCATCTCCTATGTGTAGTTCCTTACAATCTTTAAGTGTGTATTTCTATAACCTGTGTTTCCTAATATTCATTGAAAGATATATTGAATTCTTAATAATATTATATGTATTCAAGAGAATGCTTATGCCTCTTTTTAATATTGTTTTGGGTTACGGAGATATTCATGTTTACTTCCTATTTCCAGTTTTTAGCTCACTGGCCACAAATGCTTAGGAAGATATATAGGAATAACCCTTTGCTTTTATATGAGGCTTTATAGCTCCAAAGCACTTTTGAATCCATATCTCATTTAATATCAGAAAAACCTTGTGAGGCTAGGTAGAACAAGTATTTTTATTTTAAGATAAGTCTTAAAGTTGTTTAGTGCTTGGCTTACTACTAACAGAAAAATTACTTAAAGGCCGGGTACAGTGACTCACGCACTTTGGGAGGCTGAGGGGGGCAGATCACAGGGTCAGGAGATCAAGACCATCCTGGCTAACATGGTGAAACCTTGTTTCTACTAAAAATACAAAAAAATTAGTCAGGCATGGTGGTGGGTACCTGTAGTCCCAGCTGCTTGGGAGACTGAGGCTGGAGAATGGCATGAACCCAGGAGGTGGAGCTTGCAGTGAGCTGGGATCGCGCCACTGTACTCCAGCCTGGGCAACAGAGCAAGACTCCATCTCAAAAAAATAAATAAATAAAAAGAAAAATTACTTAAAATTAGCAGCTGATGAATAGATTTTGATTAATTATTAAAAGACCAACATAGCTTAAATAATACTAAAATTATTTAATAAATTAATACTATTAAGATAATATATGTAAATTAAACCAAATAAATTGAATTTTGTTCTCTTTTTTAACATTCTGAATTGGCCTTTGATAACGTTTTTGGGCTTACCTTCCTGTTATTCAAAAATATTAACCCTTGAACAGATAGCTGGCAAAATGCATGTTCTGGGGCTTAGAAATATCATGTGGTCCAGGGCCGGGCACGGTGGCTTACGCCTGTAATCTCAGCACTTGCGGAGGCCAAGGTGAGTGGACCATCTGAGGTCAGGAGTTCAAGACTAGCCTGGCCAACATGGTGAAACCCCATCTCTACTAAAAATACAAAAATTAGCCGGGCATGGTAGTGCATGCCTGTAATCCCAGCTACCCAGGAGACTGAGGCAGGAGAATCCCTGGAACCTGGGAGGCAGAGGTTGCAGTGAGCTGAGATGGTGCCATTGCATTCCAGCCTGGGTGACAAGAGTGAAACTCCATCTCAAAAAAAATCAATGAAAGAAATATCATGTGGTCCAATTTAATGTCCCACTCTTTCACCAGTTTTTACATAGAGAAAAGCCGTATGTGACACATTTCCTAAAGCGTGGGGCAAAAGAGATTACCAGTTAGTGGTGATCCCTGAGAACTGCTCCTTATTCCTTTTGATCTTACAGCCTGAGAGTGATAGATTTTAGAAGGAGAAAATATTATGTCACATATTTAGGAAATAAAGTATAAATTGACTTTTACAAGAGAATATTTTAAATATCCATTGATGCTAGAAAACATGGTAACAGACTGACTTTCATTATTTTAAAATTTGTGTGTGTGTATTGTTCTTTATTTACTCTACCAAAAAAGGAAGATCCAAGATTGAAAATTCCAGCCCATCTGAGAGGAAAGACATCACTTGATACTTCCAGTGATCTAGGGCCTTTACCTGTAAGTGTATAGAAATGCTAACCCATCCAACTTGGCTATCTCAAATATTTTGTATTTTTGGATATAGTCGTTCTTTATCAGCTATAATTAATATTATTATTAAAATGTAGGCTGGGCACGGTGGCTCATGCCTGTAATCCCAGCACTTTGGGAGGCTGAGGTGGGTGGATCACGAGGTCAGGAGATCCAGACCATCCTGGCCAACACGCCATGTTGGCGAACACGGTGAAACCCCGTCTCTACTAAAAATACAAAAAATTAGCCGGACGTGGTGGTGGGCGCCTGTAGTCCCAGCTACTCGGGAGGCTAAGGCAGGAGAATGGCGTAAACCCGGGAGGCGGAGCTTGCAGTGAGCCAAGATCACGCCACTGCACTCCAGCCTGGGTGAAAGAGCAAGACTCCATCTCAAAAAAATAAAAATAAAATAAAAAATTTAAAAAGGTTGATACCTTCTAAGAATCGAATGGAATATGCAAGTTAACCATACAACCAGTGCTGTTTTTCTATCCATTCATCTAAAACCCTATCCTAACATAATTGAAATACATTCTTCATTATAGCCAGGATGGGAAGAGAGAACTCACACAGATGGAAGAATCTTCTACATAAATCACAGTATGTGCAATGCGATTTTTCGTTATGTTATTTTTTGTAATAAATTTTATCTGTGAGAAAGTACACCATTTTTCTTTTTCTTCCCTTCAGATATAAAAAGAACACAATGGGAAGATCCTCGGTTGCAGAATGTAGCAATAACTGGACCAGTAAGTCTCTCTGTGCTGATGTGCTCTGATGGGACTGTCCCCTCACCTGTCTCTTCAAAAGCAGATACTCAAGGGCATAACCCTACAGGCATTGAGAGGAAAGCACATTGGCCATTCTGTCTCCTCTCCCCCATTTCCCATACTCCAAGTCTCAGTTATTTGAAAAGATTCTATGACGTCATTATCTTTACCCTATGCAATAGCAGTGGGAGACAGGTGAGCCAGACAGTCGGAATGCTAAGGCAGTGTGGGCTGCTGAGCTCAGGTGGGTGCCTGCCACTGTCTGAACAAGAATGTTGACAGTCCTCCACAAATCAGAGAGGAGCAGAGAGTGTATCCAGATGAGGAAGCAGCAGCACCCTATCCACTCCAGGGTCATTCTTAAATTTTTTTATAGAAATCAGGCCAGGCTCACACCTGTAATCCCAGCACTTTGGGGGAGGCCAAGGCAGGTGGATCACCTGAGGTCAGGAGTTCAAGACTGGCCTGGCCAATATGGTGAAACCCCGTCTCTACTAAAAATGCAAAAAATATTAGTTAGGCATGGTAGCAGACACCTGTAGTCCCAGCTACTTGGGAGGCCAAGGCAGGAGAATCACCTGAACCCAGGAGGCAGAGGTTGCGGTGAACTGAGAGATTGCACCACCACATTCTAGCCTGGGTGACAGAGCGAGACTCCATCTCAAAAAAAAGAAAAAGAAAAAGAAATCATTGTAAATGCCCAGTATGTAAGACACATCCACACTTAAGTACAAATATTACCATATATGATAACTGTAGTCAGATAGGAAAATTATTATCCTTTTTTATAGCTGCTTCTTCCATTTTATTCAGATTTTGTTTTCTAATTCATAAAAATAAAACTGAAGATACCTTTTTTTTATTACTATTTACTATCTCAACATGTAGTCCTTTAATGGCTCAAAAAGGCAATTCCTTGGAGTTCAAGGAAAAAGTACGCTTTTCACATTGCCTGTTTAATGGAGAAATCACTTTGAAAGTCTCTTTAGAAATGGGAATTTTTGTTTGTAGTATTTCTCTACCTGGAAGAAATTTCCTATTTCTGGCATGCTGCATTTTGAGAATATTGCATAATGAAAATTACAGCCATAGGAATTGCTGAATATAATTTTGTCTTAAACAGAGAAATTAAATATTTTAAAGTTTTGTATTTGTTTTTCTTCTAATTAAACTTTTCTTTCCAAATATTTTTCTTTTCATGCCCTTAACTTATATTCATAAAATACCCTGCCGGGAACTTTAAAAATTTTTCCAGAATAAAAACAACCTAAACTTCTTTATTTTTCCAAAATTTCCCACTAAAGGCAGTGCCCTACTCCAGGGATTACAAAAGAAAGTATGAGTTCTTCCGAAGAAAGTTGAAGAAGCAGGTTAGTGATGTTTGTGATAAATACTTGAGTCATCAATATATAGATGGAAAGTAATGGGAAATTTTGTTTAAAGTAATAATTTGTTCTATATTTGTAACAACTTTGAGTGAACAGTTTTTCATAGAGAAAGGATGGTTATTTTTTGTGTAGCTGTGATATATCACTACAGACCACTGATTATTTTATGTCTTTATTTTGTAAGATATTTTATAATATAGAAAAATGGCATTTAAAGTTTGCTTTCCAGAGCTCTAACCTGATGTATCCTTGTGGGGTTTATGGGGCTTGATCTTTGTAGAACCTGAGCAAGAGTGGCTCAGGAAATTATCTTCTGGCATAGTCTTTGACTTTGTTGGAGGAGTCTGGATTTGTTTTATGACTTTGTTGTTTTCTAGCGGTAGTCATTCATTCTCTACACCTTCAAATGTAATGTCTCTGCATAATTTAAAAATACAATCATGAGTGGAACTGTGCTCTTGTGACTTGTCTCCGTATGCTTATCAGTTATGTTCAGTACACTTTTTCCCATCACCACAAGTGCAATATGTTTGGAACTAAACTCGTCATCTGGCCATCTATTTCATTTCTGTTGGTGTCTGCTAGTTTTAGTGCCTCTTACTTGCTCATCCTGTTCTCCTCTGCCTGCAGTTTAGGAATACTACCACTAGGTGGCCATATTGGGTTATACTTTCTTGCATTCTAAGCCAGAAGCTGGCTTTCACAAAGATTCAAGATGGTGGGTCGGCTACCTCCGATTTTCACCCAGATTTTTAACAAAAATAAAACATGATAGTTTTTTTAGTGTAAACATTTTATGCCCTAATAAAATCCTTAAATATCATCAACTTTCTAAACTCATTTTTAAAGATAATTTTGTGGGCCAGGCGCAGTGGCTCACACCTGTAATCCCAGCGCTTCGGGAGGTTGAGGCGGGTGGATCACTTGAAGTCAGGAGTTCCAGACCAGCCTGGCCAACACGGTCAGACCCCCGTCTCTACTAAAAATACAAAAATTAGCTGGGTGTGATGTTACCCGCCTGTAATCCTGGCTACTCGGGAGGCTGAGGCAGGAGAACCGCTTGAACCAGGTAGGCAGAGGTTGCAGTGAGCTCAGATCACTTCACTGCACTCCAGCCTGGGCAACAGAGTGAGACCCTGTCTCAAAGAAAAAGAAAAAAGAAAAGATAACATTGTGTCAAAATTTCCCTGGAAATTTGTTTTCTACTTCTAGACTTTGGGATTTTAAATATTTGCTGATTCATTGTTCTGGTAAATATTTTCATTCTTAATGAGAATATGCTGGAGGAATAGAAGCACTAGCTTCTCCATTTGCCACTCTAAGTGGTTGAAACATGTTGTAGTATCTAATTGTTAATGTCTTCCAGGCGGCAGGAGATGGGAGGCAATGCCATTACAGGCCACAAAATACAAAAAAAAAAAAGATAAAAGCAATTATATTTGTTGATCTCTCACTGCATACCAGGCATTCTTCTTAGAAGTTTACATATGTTATTCATTTAATGTCTACAATAACTCTGTAAGGAAGGGACTACTATTACATTTCACAGATGAGGAAACTGAGGCACAGAGAATAGGTAATGTGATCAAGTCCCATGGTTATTAAGTAGAAAAGCTAAGTGGTCTAGCTCCAGATCCCATGTTCCTAAGCAACATGACATATCATATTGGTGACTAAGAGAATTAAGAGAGAAATTAATTAATTTGTATGGAAATTACCCAGAATGCAACAAAGGTAGGTAAAGGAATAAACATATAAAAGAAAGGGTAAAGACATGAAGTCGGCCAGGTGCGGTGGCTCACGCCTGTAATACCAGCACTTTAGGAGGCCGAGGCGGGTGGATCACAAGGTCAGGAGATTGAGATCATTCTGGCTAACACAGTGGAACCCTGTCCCTACTAAAAATACAAGAAATTAGCCGGGCGAGGTGGCGGACGCCTGTAGTCCCAGCTACTCAGGAGGTTGAGACAGGAGAATGGCGTGAACCCAGAAGGCGGGGCTTGCAGTGAGCCGAGATCATGCCACTGCACTCCAGCCTGGGCGACAGAATGAGACTGTCTCAAAAAATAATAATAATAAATAAAATAAAATAAAAGGACATGAAGTCACTCCAGAAGGAGGGGACCAAGATCATAAGGAGGAGAAGGATAAGAATATGAATTCTCAACATTAATAAAAAAGCCCAAGCAATATTTTAAAAATAAAATCTGTATCTAGACACATCATAGCAAAAGAGCAGAACACTTAGAATGTAAGAACGTGTAGCACCAAAACAGAGAGAAAGAATATTAAAAACACCAGGTGCAGTGGCTCATGCCCGTAATCCCAGCACTTTGGGAGGCTGAGGCAGGAGGATTACTTGAGCTCAGGAGTTCAAAGCTGCACTGAGCTATAATCATGCCACTGCACTCCAGCCTGGATGACAGAGCAGTACTCTGTCTCAAAAAAAAAAAAAAAGAAAAGAAAAATTAAAAACCGGTGCTTGAAAGCCATGCACTGTCTTTAACCTTTTCCTCTTCCTTATTCTCAACATCTTGTAGTTAGGAATAATGATGGCTAATAATTACCATATGCCAGATACTGTGTAAGCATTTTTAATGCATTATTCCATTAAGTCTTGAAACAACTCCATGTGGATAGCTATCATTATTATTATCCCTATTTTATGGATGAGGAAATTAATCCTTAGAAAAGACATGTAACCTGTCCAAAGTCTCACTCCTAACGAATGGTGGAGTCAAGATTTGAACGCAGGGCCAGATTTCAGAATGCATGCACTTGTCTACTACTCAGTTCAAACACTCAAGTTTCTCCTGTAACCCTCTCTTCTTCCACTACCATTGCTCCTTCACAGGTCCCTCTATCTTCTCTCACTGAGCTATTCCAGGGATCTTTAACTGACCAGTGTACCTCTTGTTTCTCCTCCTTAAAACCACCCTTTACACCCTGTCCTGTCAGCTTCTGAGAACGCAGCGATCTGACCGTGTGGCTTTCCTACTCAGAAACTCTCTTCTCATCTGCATTCACACTGTCCACCCTCTGCTCCCAGACTGCTTTGTCACATTTTTTCGCTATAATCCCTGCTTTCTTTCCCTTCCTCTCTCTTCTTCTCCTTCTGTACCCTGTAGGTATTAAATATATCAGACCCCTCATGTATGCTGTTCCTCCATCCTTCCCTCCCTTTCTCTCTGTCTAAAGACTTCCTCTCAAAGCCTTCTTGATTGCCTCATTTGAAGTCAATAGCTCAGTCTTTTATGCCCTGCAGAACATTGCCTCCATCTCTTATCATCAGCAATTGTCCTCCTATTTTAAGTCTCAGAATTAGCAGCATTTACACTTGTTTTTCACATATGCACCAGATGAGAAACTCCTTGAGGAAGCAACGACATCTTACCCTGTGTTTTTATTCTTTTTATTCCCCATCGTTGGCCCTACTACAATACCACCTGGCCCAAGTAGGCCTTTGATAAATGCTTACCTGCACCAGCTCCCTAGTATCCAGTCTAAAGTTACTTTTCTGCAAGCTTACCATTTTTTTAGTGACATAAGCAGTATAAGAAACTGCTCATATCATGCTTATATTGCTTATATCAACTGCTTATATTATTATGTTTCTATAGGGCTTTCCATTTTCCCTAAATAGAGAATGAAATTGATTTTTTTCCCTTAGAGCTAACCTTCTTTTTTGGAGGTGACAGAATGTTGATGGCATGTTTTCTCTTACTGGTTTCCCGTGGAAATTTGCCCACGAAGTACTGAGGAATAAAATATTTAGATATATCTTTTGTAAAATGTACAAAAAGGTCTGCCTAAAGCATAGTTGTGTACATTTGTCACATAAGCAAAGAATGTACAAAAGATTAGTGAGGCAATGTAGCTCCATTAATTAAGAGTACAGACTCAGGAGCTAACACTTTCTTAAGTTGTCTTCTTCAGTTTTATATGTAAAATGAAGACAGTAAGAATAGCTTTTGCATAGTGTTGTTTTAAAGTTAAATGAGTTAACCTACCATTCCAGGGGACCCATGCCTCGCTGTATTAGTCCGCTTTCATGCTGCTGATAAAGACATACCCGAGACCAGGCAATTTACAAAAGAGGTTTGTTGGACCTACAGTTCCACATGGCTAGGGAGGCCTCACAATCATGGCAGAAGGCAAGGAAGAGCAAGTCACATCTTACGTGGATGGCAGCAGGCAAAGAGAGAGCTTGTGCATAGAAACCATTAGATTTCATGAGACCCATTCACTATCACGAGAACAGTGCGGGGAAAGACCCGCCCCCATAATTCAATCACCTCCCACCGGGTTCTTCCCACGCCACATGGGAATTGTGGGAGTTACAATTCAAGATGAGATTTGGGTAGGATCACAGCCAAAACATATCACTGGCACAGTCTGTAAACGTCACCATCTGTTAATGAGTGAAGGAAGATAGACTCCAGGGAGGAAAGTAGAGGTAGGGAAAACCCTGAACAGACAGGCAGGCAACAGCTAGCAGGCAGTGGCTATCCTACAGGTCACAGAACGGTGTTCATTGGAACTTAATATGAAAAGGACTATTAATGAAATGCCTTCATGGGGGCATTACCATCACCATCAATAGCTTCTTTAGGCTGGGTGCCATGGCTCACTCATGCCTATAATCTCAGCACTTTGGGAGGCCAAAGCGGGAGGATTGCTTGAACTTAGGAGTATGAGACCAGCCTGGGCAAGATGGCAAGACCTCAGAAACTTAAAAAATTAGCCAGGCATGATGGCACGCGCCTATGGTCCAGTTACTTAGGAAGCGGAGGCAAGAGGATCACTTGAGCCCATGAGGTCAAGGCTGCAGTAAGCCATGTTCACGCCACTGCACTCCAGCCTGGATTACAGAGCTGTCTCCAAAAACCAAAAAGCTTCCTCAGATATAAAGAAGTCTATATTACTAAGTAATTAGAGAAAATGCAGGAACTCTCTCATACCGTAGAGGAAACCAAGACAATATACCTAGTTGTGTTTTCCCTGAGTATATTACGTAAGGAAAAAGAGACTTGGACACAGGGTGTAGAGGGAATGTTATAACTTTATGAGAGAGATGTTTGTGATTATGTTGAACTGATTTAAACAGTAAGTCTCTCCTCTGGATTTTCAGAATGACATTCCAAACAAATTTGAAATGAAACTTCGCCGAGCAACTGTTCTTGAGGACTCTTACCGGAGAATTATGGGTGTCAAGAGGGCAGACTTCCTCAAGGCTCGACTGTGGATTGAGTTTGATGGTGAAAAGGGATTGGATTATGGAGGAGTCGCCAGAGAATGGTTCTTTCTGATCTCAAAGGAAATGTTTAACCCTTATTATGGGTTGTTTGAATATTCTGCTACGTAAGTACCTTTACAATGATTATAGGCAGAAAAAGAAAAATCACTGCTTTAAAAGTAAGAGTCAAATGATACAAGGAAAATATATGTCATGCCTGAAAAGGGCAATTTTAACTAATGTTGCTTCAGAAGTGACTTTTTTTAAAGTTGTGGTGAAATACACATTACATAAAATTTACCGTTTTAGGCCAGGCGCGGTGGCTGTTGCCTGTAATCCCAGCACTTTGGGAGGCCAAGGCGGGCGGATCATGAGGTCAGGAGATCGAGACCATCCTGGCTAACACAGTGAAACCCCATCTCTACTACAACTACAAAAAAAATTAGCCGGGCGTGGTGGTGGGCACCTGTAGTCCCAGCTATTTGGGAGGCTGAGGCAGGAGAATGGCATGAACCTGGGAGGCAGAGCTTGCAGTGAGCCGAGATCGCATCACTGCACTCCAGCCTGGGTGACAGTGCGAGACTCCGTCTCAAAAAAAAAAAAAAATTACTGTTTTAACCATTTTAAATATACAATTTAGAGTCATCACATACACTCTATTGTTGTGCTGCCATCACCACCATCCAACTCTAGAACTTTTTCATCTTCCCAAAATGAAACTCCGTACCCAGTAAGCACTTGCTCCCCATTCCCTGGCAGCCACCATTCTGCTTTCTGTCCCTGTAAATTTGACTCCTCTGGGTACCTCACATAAGTGGAATCATTCAATATTTGTCTTTTTGTGACCAGCTCATTTCACTTGGCATGATGTCTTCAGGGTTCATCCATGTTGTAGCATGTATCAGAATGTCCTTCCTTTTTAAGGCTGAATAATATTCCATTATTTTTGCATATAATGCTTTGTTTAGGCCAGGCGCGGTGGCTCACGCCTGTAATCCTAGCACTTTGGGAGGCCGAGGCAAGTGGATCACAAGGCCAGGAGTTCAAGACAAGCCTGGCCAACATAGTGAAACCCTGTCTCTACTAAAAATACAAAAATTAACCAGGCGTAGTGGTGGGCACCTCTAATCCCAGCTACTTGGGAGGCTGAGACAGGGAAATCACTTGAACCTGGGAGGCGGAGGTTGCAGTGAGCTGAGACCATGTCGTTGCACTCCAGCCTGGGGAACAGAGCAAGACTCCATCTCGAAAACAAACAAACAAAACTTTGTTTATGCATTCATCTGCCAAGGACATTTGGGTTATTTCCACTTTTTGACAGAAATTACTATTTTTAAAACCATTAAATTCAGTGGAGGAATGTGGTTCTAACAGTAGTAAACAACTCTTAAAAGAGGAAGAGATTATTTATAATTATTTGTCATATTCAAGTGTTTCAAATGAAGTATTTAAATGGGGTTGTCTTTACAGGGACAATTATACCCTACAGATAAATCCAAACTCTGGATTGTGTAATGAAGATCACCTGTCTTACTTCAAGTTTATTGGTCGGGTAGCTGGAATGGCAGTGTATCATGGCAAACTGTTGGATGGTTAGTATTAAGTATAAACTTTTACAATGTAATTACCTGTTGTCTTTCACTTGGTAATCATCCTAAATGTATTTGGTTTTTTGCAAGGTTTTTTCATCCGCCCATTTTACAAGATGATGCTTCACAAACCAATAACCCTTCATGATATGGAATCTGTGGTATGTCTTTTTCACTTATAGTTTAGACAAAGTATAATTTAATAAGTAACTTGAACATTTTGAGGAATTTGCTTTTAATGACATGGAAATTAATATATTATGTTTCAAAATACAAATTAACTTTTTCCTCAACATTTTATTATGAAAATTTTCTAACGTTTAATAAAGATGGAAGTATTTTACCCCACACACTTGTATATCCACTACTCACAATTGGTTTTTTCTAGATTTACTGTATCACATACTTGTCTGTCTATCCATCAGCCTATCTTAGTTTCTTCATGCATTTCAGAGTAAGTTATAGATAACAGTAAACATCCCACTAAATACTTCAATAGGTTGTACAAGTTATGTGTCTTTGGAATCAGTATTTGCATTACGATCTTTTATGATGAATATTGCATGTGTGTGTGTATATATATATATATATATATTTTTTTTTTTTTTTTTTTTTTTTTTTTTTTGAGACAGAGTCTCGTTGTGTTGCCAAGCTGGAGTGCAGTGGCGTGATCTCGGCTCACTGCAACCTCCGCTTCCCAGGTTCAAGCAATTCTCTGCCTCAGCCTCCCGAGTAGCTGGGACTATGGGTGCGCGTCACCTTGCCCAGCTAATTTTTGTATTTTTAGTAGAGATGGGGTTTCGTGTTCGCCAGGATGGTCTCCATCTTTTGACCCCATGATCCACCCGCCTTGGCCTCCCAAAGTGCTGGGATTACAGGCGTGAGCCACTGCGCCCGACCATATGGTGTATATTTTTTAAATGGCAGTCGAAAGGCAAAGCATTATGGTTAGGCTCCTAGAAAAAAACAGAAGCCCAAGGATTAAACCCCTGACTGTAGCCATGTTGTTTCCTGTGCTGCTGAATAGCCTCACACGATGTGTGTACACATGAATTCTAGGACATCTTCCTTAGTACCAAGTTCATTTTTTATTTTCTTATTACATATTAACAGCACAAACAGTGTGCTTCTTTATAAATCGTAAGATTGCACGGTTATTTGAGTTGGTTCATTGAGCCTCTATATTTATTTAGAGATTTTTCTTTAACTCGGGCTGGGTATAAACAATGGCCTCCTCATAGCTACTTAAACATTTCACACACAGTGCCGGACACAGGGGTGTGCAACTGTAATCCCAGCACTTTGGGAGGCTGAGGCATGTGGAACTTGAGGTCAAGAGTTTGAGACCAGCCTGGCCAACATGGTGATAGCCTGTCTCTACAAAAAATACAAAAATTAGCCGGGTGTCGTGGTGCATGCCTGTAGTCCCGGCTACTCAGGAGGCTGAAGTAGGACAATCACTTGAGCCAAGGAGGTCGAGGCTGCAGTGAGCCACAGTCACCCCACTGCATTCCAACCTGAGGGACAGAGCAAGACCCTGTCTCAAAAAAAAAAAAAAAATTAAATTAAAAAATAAAAATAAAACATTATAGTCACGTAGGCATATGAGGAATGTGCTAAGTGCTCCTGGATATCCAAAGCCAAAAGTTAGGTTTTATCTGAAAACTTCTGTATTCATTCCTTTAACTGGATGATACAATCTGTACCTCCACTGCTTCCACATAAACATAGATTCTGAACTTTTCAGTAGGCACCACTTGATTGATTGATTGACTGGTGCATTTTTACTCTTGCCCTTACCATCCATCTCTTTTTGTAATACACACACATACACACATACATTTTTGTTTATGTGTGTAAGTAAAGGATGTCCATCTGACCTCTCATCTTTTACCCAATTACTCAGCCCCTCTACATATTGTTTTTTTGCAATTTCAGGTGTGTTATATGTACAAATTTTAAATACGTAATTTTTCCCATCTAGGATAGTGAATATTACAATTCCCTAAGATGGATTCTTGAAAATGACCCAACAGAATTGGACCTCAGGTTTATCATAGATGAAGAACTTTTCGGACAGGTTTGTTAATTTTGATCAGTTAAAATGGCACATAAATTGTGAAACAAATGTTTCGATGTTAATACGTACACTGAATACATTCCTAGGCTCTGTTTTTACATTTATTTTCCAGTAACAAAAACTGTCTCTCAGCAAGAATTTGTGCTTTCTTTAACATTTGACTCATTCCATATTTATTTTAGTAAAACTAATATTTTAAGTTTTCTTAGCTTTTAACTTGTGACTGGACTTAATTTAAAACACCAGGTTTCTTGTATAACTACAATATGTATACTTTTAAAATTTTTCTCAGTAAAATAACATATCAAGTTATTGTGTTTAATTTTAGACACACCAACATGAGCTGAAAAATGGTGGATCAGAAATAGTTGTCACCAATAAGAACAAAAAGGAATATATTTAGTAAGTATTTTGCTAATAATTATTTTATAGGATATAATTTTGTACTTTACTCCAAAAAGACTCCGCTTACCATCTTTCTCTGTCCCCTTGGCCAGAATGTCAGTGTTCTTTTTCTCTATCTCAATGCAGTAGCGAGCACTCATATTCAGCCTTTGCATTGGGCTCAGCTAGCCTTTAGTTTTTGTTTCTAACTAGAATAATTGTGACTCAGAATTTTGTCTTGGTTCATGTGAAAATGAAATGTTGTTTCTTTTTAGTCTTGTAATTCAATGGCGATTTGTAAACCGAATCCAGAAGCAAATGGCTGCTTTTAAAGAGGTATTCGTTTTCTTTTATTTGCTCTTCCGTAATTTCATAGTATAACCCATAAGTTTCTTTTTTTTAATTATTATACTTTAAGTTCTAGGGTACATGTGCACAATGTGCAGGTTTGTTACATATGTATACATGTGCCATGTTGGTGTGCTGGACCCATAAGTTTCAAATATTGGGCCTCATCACTTCTGAGAAAAATAAGTGTATGGCTTGTTTTGTGAAATCATTCTAAATTATATTTTTATATTAACTAAATATTTCATTCAGTCATTCAAGAAGTCTAGACAATAAACATTGACAGGTCCCCTTTCCCCCAAGCCTTTTCCCTATTCCATTCCTTTCACCTTAGGACAGCAAAAGAACGAGAGTGCTTTAGGCGTAGTATAACATATTGTCTGTTTTTCTAAATAGGATCACCTTAGACATTTTGTTTTGTGACTTACTTACTTCTTTTTTTTTTTTTTGAGACAGAGTCTCACTCTGTCAACCAGATTGAAATGCAGCGGCCTGATCTCGGCTCACTGCAACCTGTACCTCCCAGCTTCAAGCACTTCTCCTGCCTCAGCCTCCCGAGTAGCTGGGATTACAGGTGCCCGCCACCACGCCCAGCTAATTTTTGTATTTTTAGTACACACAGGGTTTCACCATGTTGGTCAAACTGATCTCGAACTCCGGATCTCAAGTGATCCACCCGCCTTGGCCTCCCAAAGTGCTGGGATTATAGGCATAAGCCACCGCACTCGACCTGCTTTCTTCTTTTATCAGATATTTATTGGGGATATTTACATGTGAAAACATATAGCTGCCTTTCTTTGTGGCTATATTTTATTCAGAATATAAATTAGTAAGTTACTTAAAATTTCCCCAATTGGTAGACAGATTGTCAGAGCACTCATTTCGTAAGATAATTTACAATCTTCTGTTAAATAAGTATCTGGCTGGGCATGGTGGTTTATGCCTATAATCCCAACACTTGAGGAGGATGAGGCGGGAGGACTGCTTGAGCCCAGAGTTTGAGACCAGCATGGACAATATAGGGAGACCTTATCTCTATAAAAAATTTAAAATTAGGCTGGGCACGGTGGCTCATGCCTGTAATCCCAGCACTTTGGGAGGCCGAGTTCTGGTGGATTGCCTGAGGTCAGGAGTTTGAGACCAGTCTGGCCAACATGGTGAAACCCCATCTCTACTAAAAATACAAAGAAATTAGTCGGACGTGGTGGCGTGCACCTGCAGTCCCAGCTACTCGGGAGGCTGAGGCAGGGGAATTGCTTGAACCCGAGAGGCAGAGGTTGCACTGAGCTGAGATCACGCCACTGCACTCCAGCCTGGACAATGGAGCGAGACTTAGTCTCAAAAAAAAAAAAATGAGCTTGGTGTCATGGCATGTGCGTATGGTCACAGCTACTTGGGAGGCTGAGGCTAGAGAATCACTTGAGCCTTGGAAGTCGAGGCTACAGTGAGCTATGAGCTATGATGGCACCACTGCACTCCAGTCTGGGCTACAGAGTGAAACCTTGTCTCTAAAGAGTGTGTGCGTGTGTGTGTGTGTGTGTGTGTGTGTGTGTGTGTGTGTGATCACATACTTTTTCATAAATTCCATATTGAGTACTATGTGTATGGTGCTGTACGAGGCCAAAAGACATAAGTCCTGCTCTTAAGGGATGTATGATGTAAAGAGAGAAATGAACAGAGGCAAGCATAAAGTGCTAGGTGAGCAGAGAAGAGTGCAAACCAGGGAGGGGCAAAGGAAGGGACAAAGAAGGACTAGAGGGATTGGCCAACCATGGAGAAGAGGGAAATGCAGTTCTAGGCAGCAGGAGCAGCGTATGTGAAGTCTGGCAGTAAGGTAGGCTGTACCCACAGGCAGTTGAGTATGCTGGGTTAGGGAATGCAAGACGGAAACAGTCAGCCTGCAGAGCTAACAGACCAGCTTATACAGGGCCTGTGTGTGAAGCGGTAGAGTTTGGAGTTTTCTCTGAATTTCAGTGAGGGGGAAGGAAGGTAGCATTAAAGGCTATTAACCAGTAAGACACCAAGATTCAATTTATGTTTTAGATCATTCTGGAAGTGCCATGTAGAGCGAGTTAGAGGAGAGCAAGACTAGCAGCAGAGACTTCCCAGCAGAGTTGGGAAAGGGCTACATAATCTTGGTGAGAAATGGTAAGGAATTAAGGGAATGGTGAGGGAGTTGAGACAGGAATGGGAAGGGAATGAAGATAGTGGTGGTGGTCAGAGCTTCATGTGCATTTGAATGGCATTCAGAAAGGGAGACTTCAAGGATAGAGATGTATGGATTTGGGGCTCATTTGCCTACGTATAGTGAAGCTGCGAACTTGATACGATGGAAAATGTGAAAGGGCAGTGAAAGTGGATGGCCTGACATGTGGAGAGAGAACTGGGAACACCAGCATCTTAACTGTTGTTTTGAATGGATGGTTTATGAATGGACAGGTTAGGGCATGGGAGAAAAAAGAAAAAAAAACAAAAAACAGGAGACTGTAAAGGAAATAAGGAAAATAACAAAGGCAGACAGAAAGATATCAAGAGCAGAGAGAGTTTCAATAGCAAAGATGGTTTTAATCATATCATACTGCAAAGAAGTCAAATATGATAAGGAATTGAATGTGTTTATTAGATATAGCTGCAAAGCTGTCTTTGACTTTTTCCAGAACAATTTCAAGGAAGCTGTAGTATAGAAGTCCGATTGCAGTGGGTTGAGTGTTAGATGGGAGGTGAGTGAATGGATATGCTAAGTGCATAACACTGTCAAGAACTTGCCTGTGAAGGGAAAAAGAGGGTCATTGGTTTTGTTTTTGTTTTTTTGTTTGTTTGTTTGCTTTAAAGGTAGATATGACTTGAGCAAATTTAAATGCATACAGAGTGAGCCAATAAAGAGAAAGAGATCTAGTGAGATGACCTCCCTGCGGAGCAGGTGAAGCACAGGTGCAGGCCTAGCCTGAAAGAAGAGGTGGCACTTCTGTCTTCCACTGCGGCGGGAAGGAGGCCATGATGGGTGTTGGTGATGGTTGGGACACAGGGATGCAGAAGCTTGAGGGAGTTCCATCATGCATAATTGCCTCTGTTTTCCCTCAAATAGAACTTACACTTACCTACGGTAAAGAAGGGGTGATGTGGAGGCTTGAGAAGGATGGCAAATTTGTTTTTTGTTGTTGTTCTTGTTGTTTTGAGACAGGATCTCACTTTGTCGCCAAGACTGGAATACCTCAGCCTCCCCAGTAGCTGGGACTACAGGTTTACACCACCATGCCTGGCTAATTTTTGTATTTTTTTGTGGAGACGGTGTTTCACCATGTTTCCCAGGCTAGTCTCAAATTCCTTGAGTCAAGCAGTCCGCCCACCTCAGCCTCCCAAAGTGCTGGGATTACAGGCATGAGCCACCGCACCTGGCCACAGGAAGTTTTAAAAATAGCCACTTTGAGGAATAAATGAGAGAACAGACTGTGCACATGTACATTTTCTGGCCAATATTGAGATCTCAGTGAAGAGCCCGTGATTGTGTAGCGGTAGAAACTTGTGTGTCTGTGGGATTCCTCCAGTGGCACCCGGAAGCTGAAGCATAGGAAAGGCCATTGGCCCTGCCCATCAGGTTTTTAAATACATCTTTTTTCTAGGGATTCTTTGAACTAATACCACAGGATCTCATCAAAATTTTTGATGAAAATGAACTAGAGGTAAGACATAACATTTTATGTTGAAACAGAAAATTTTGAACCCATTATTTTCCTTGTTTATAATTTGACATTTCTTACGTAGCTTCTTATGTGTGGACTGGGAGATGTCGATGTGAATGACTGGAGGGAACATACAAAGTATAAAAATGGCTACAGTGCAAATCATCAGGTTATACAGTGGTTTTGGAAGGTAATTTGAAACTTCTATTTTCGTAAATTACTTTTTGATAGATTGAATCATATTTAAGTCAACTCTTGATTAACTATACTGGTGGATTACATTTAACTGACACAGAAAAATATAGAGACCAGCAAAAATGATCTTTGATTTTGTACCGTATACATGCACCTTCTGGGTCTATAACCATTACTAGGTAAGTAAAATGTTCAGAAGGTAGTAAGTGGAATGACAGGCTGAGACAGGCACTTAGTTTTCTACTAAAGTAGGGACTCTGAAAGAACTTGTAATAACCTACAGGGTATTCCTAGGGACTCCTGAGTGGCTCTTTTAAAATGTCTCATAGAGAAATGTGTATGCCATTCAATAATATTAATATAATGTGTTTTTTGAGATGGAGTCTCGCTCTGTCTCCCAGGCTGGAGTGCAATGGTGCTATCTCAGCTCACTGCCACCTCCGCCTCCCATGTTCAAGCAATTCTCTTGCCTCAGCTTCCCGAGTAGCTGGGATTACAAGCATGCACCACCATGCCTGGTTAATTTTTTTGTATTTTTAGTAGAGACGGGTTTCACCATATTGGCCAGGCTGGTCTCAAACTCCTGACCTCAAGTGATCCACCCACCTCAGCCTCCCAAAGTGCTGGGATTATAGGCATGAGCCACTGCGCCCAGCATATAAGTTTTAAAAGTCATGAGTCATATCTCAAGAGAAATTTTGTTACTTCATTAGGTTATAATCCCATTCTAAAAAGTTGCCATGTAGCCTTACAAATAAAGTTTTCAAGAACTTTATAACCCACCCATAAATAAAAATTTAACTAAAAGAAACATCCACATCTAGTAAGGGATTGTTACTATTCTAGCTAAATTCTGATAGCTTATGTTTCAGGATAATTTGTTTACCTTTTTCCCAGTGCTGTTCCCTAAATGATGTTTTTATCTTATTCAGGCTGTTTTAATGATGGATTCAGAAAAAAGAATAAGATTACTTCAGTTTGTCACTGGCACATCTCGGGTGCCTATGAATGGATTTGCTGAACTATATGGTAAGGATTTTCCATAGATCATTAAAAAAAATGGAGTGATGCCTATTGTCTTTTTCATGGCTGATGAATCCTCACGCTTCCATCATTTACTAACATTTAGCTTAATTTTAAAAAGAATTAAGATTTTGAAAGTGATATCATTAGAGACACTAGAGTAGGCTAAAATATATTTGCACCTTCGAATCAGATAATAAAGGGGAAAACTGGAAACATCAAATGACTTGAGTCACTTTCCCTTCTTTAACTTCAGATTCTATGCCCCGTGTGCGTCAGTTACAGAAAAAGCATTACCTTGGCCGGGAGGGGTGGCTCACACCTGTAATCCTAGCACTTTGGGAGGCCGAGGCAGGCAGATCACTTGAGGTCAGGAGTTCAAGACGAGCCTGGCCAACACAGTGAAACCCCATCTCTACCCAAAAATACAAATATTAGCTGAGCTTGGTGGTGTGCACCTGTAGTCCCAGCTACTCGGGAGGCTGAGGCAGGAGAATTGCTTGAACCTGGGAGGCGGAGGTTGCAGTGAGCCGAGATTGCACCACTGTAGTTCAGCCTGGGTGACAGACTGAGACCCTGTCTCAAAAAAATGAAAAAGCATTACTTCTCATGTGATAGTTCAGGATAGCATTTGAAGTTTCACAGAATGTCACTAAGTGTATTCAAGTTGAATACCTTTAGGGAAATGCTGGACTAAACAAAGTTAAATGGATTTCTTCAGGACTTGTGTAGAACCTTTACTGTTAGAAGAAAACAAAAGCATTGTTTCCCAAACTTATTTGATCATGAATTTTTTTTTTTTTTTTTTTTTTTTTGCCTTTCAAGATAGGGGTAGAGAATCTCGTTAGGCTACTATTTTTCATTTCCTGGGGGGAGCACCGGGACTGGGGAGAAGAGTGCCCATATCTCTTGATTTTTAGAATAGTTAATGCAGTTTTCAGTAAAGTAAGATTCTGTGTATTCTATCAAATTATTTTTCAGTTGATGTACAAAACTGGAGGTGTGTTTTGTTTAAAAGTGCCGTTTCTGATGTAGATTGCAGCAACTTTTCTCACATTGATTCATATTCTGTTTATTGGAATGATATTTACTTGCTTTTAAGGATACCAAGAATCCAAGAATAAATCTTTTAGAAAGGATGTAGCTGAAGTGGGAACCCTACTCAGAACAACGAGTAAGATTAGGATTGTCCTGGGGATTAGAAGTCGGGACTGCTGCCTAGGAAATCGCTAAGCTGAATTTGTTGTGCAAATAGAAGCTGACCATCTGATGGGATAGCTAAACCCTTTCTTCATGGCAAATCTGGTCAGCTTGCCAAGCCTCATTAATGTGTGTTTGCAGAACTGATCAAGCAGCTGCTACTTCTCTACCTAGAGTAACCACTCAAAAGTGGTTAGCTTTGCCACTGACCAATTCAGTCATTCTTTGCCTAATTGGACTTCATAGCCTCTTTCTTTTTCGTGGTCTCACCTGATTCCCCTTCCTCTCTCTTCTCTGCCTTAACCAGTTGGTAGTGAAAAATAAAGGCAGGGCAAACAAATGCCCCTTTCCATCTCTGGCCTCTCTTCCCTCTTTTATGTAACCCAGCCCTATAACCATCCACTGATTTCATGCACTGTTTGAAATTTGGGGCAGATATGCCACACATAGAGCCAGAGTTGTTTGTGTTAGAATATAAAGTCAAATTCTTATGTATTTATAGAAATAAGTTGTTTCAAAATGTTAAAATTACAATATTAGATAGCCAATAAAAAGTATGTTAAGTTGGCTAGGTGCAGTAGCTCATGCCTGTAATCCCAACATTTTGGGAGGCCGAAGCAGGCAGATCACCTGAGGTCAGGCGTTCAAGACCAGCCTGGCCAACATGGTGAAACCCCGTGTCTACTAAAAATACAAAAATTAGCTGGGTGTGGTGGCACGCACCTGGAATCCCAGCTACTTGGGAGGCTGAGGCACAAGAATCATTTGCACCTAGGAGGCGGAGGTTGCAGTGAGCCGAGATCATGCCATTGTACTTCAGCCTGGGTGACAGAGTGAATGGCTTGTGGCCAGGAGTTCAAGACCAGCCTGGGCAACATAGTGAGACCCCCCATCTCTACAAAGTGAATTTTTTTAAAAGTTAGCCAGGCGTGGTGGTGCACACCTGTAGTCCTGACTACTCAGGAGGCTAAAGCAAGAGGATCACTTGAGCGCAGGAGCTTGAGGCTATAGTGAGCTTGAATCATACCCTTGCACTCCAGCCTGGGTGACAGAGGGATACCCCATCTCTAAAATATAAATAAATAAACAAACCAGATTAGTTCCCTGTGTGTGTAGGTTCTACACTAGAAAAAGTTTCCATATGCCTGAAGATCCCTGTAGAGAGTAAATGAAACCAAATAAATTCTTCCTTATAGGTTCAAACGGACCACAGTCATTTACAGTTGAACAGTGGGGTACTCCTGAAAAGCTGCCAAGAGCTCATACCTGGTAAGCAGTTGTTTGGACCTTGATAGAACGAAGCCTATCACTCAGAGAGTGAGGTTCCTCTGCCTGTTAGTCTAGCTACAGCAGGGCTAGTCTCCTCTGTGTTATGTCGGTGGCAGGTATGGATTAGGGGTAAGGAGGAGTTGGTGACACTAACCCAACGAACGTGTGTTTTGTTACCAAGTCAGCCCGGGCTTGAAGTCCAGGTAGCTGAAGATCAGAGAGATCCATCTAAACTGAGTGCTGAGTGATGGGCTGTCCCAAGAGGGGCTAGAACATTCCATTTTGGAGGTTGAAATGGCAGAGGAACTCAGACATTTGGAAGATGTGGTGGGGGCAGGACTCCACAAGGAGTCATGCAGAGTATCCATGTCCAGAACCCAGTCCTACATCTTACTTCTACCCCTGGTGAAAAGACGTATTTTGGTGGTGGTGGCACATACTCATCATGAATAGCAGCGTTGCTCTGTTTGCCGCTATTTCAGTGTCCTTCAGTGGTACCTGCTTTTTCAGTGTCTTTCATAACCAGTTCCTCTCTCTTCTTCCAGTTTTAATCGCCTGGACCTGCCACCTTATGAATCATTTGAAGAATTATGGGATAAACTTCAGATGGCAATTGAAAACACACAGGGCTTTGATGGAGTTGATTAGATCACAAATAACGATCTATAGTGTTTTCACTGCCATAGTTTTATAACCAAAATCTTGACTTAAAATTTTCCAGGGAACTACTAAAACGTGGCCACTGATTCTTCCCAGATCTTGAAGAAAATCATATAAAAAGCATTTGAAGAAATAGTATGACAACTTATTTTCAATCACTTTTAAATAATGTGTTGCATTTACACAGTTGTTTCATTCTGTCCTTAGAGTTAGGTGCCTGCCTAGAGCCAGGTACCACCACGCCTGGCTTTAGAGTTCACGCAATAGGATATAAGTCCTGTATGACTTAAATAGTGAATTTTGTCCTTAACATTTACCTCTTGTATAGTATCTGCCAGGCAGTTTTTTCTTAAACTACTGAGATGATAACTGTGAAATATTTGTGATAAGTGTCATGTGTGAAAAGTTTGATGCATTTTGAGATGGAAAACTGAAATTTGAAAAAAGAAATACTTTACTATTGAGTAAACTACAATATATTTAGTGCTACTCGCAGCTATTTATTATTTTGTACACCTGCCTTACGCACCTTACTGCCTAGATTTTTGGAAAAAAACCTTGGAAAGTGTGTTACCTATATTTCCAGCCAACTCACAGAAAAACTGTTTACTTCTTCACTTTCAAAGTATTTGGCTTTTGTTAATATGCAGTTTTTACTAAACAGGTGGTTCATAAGACATGTGAAGCAAATCCATATTTGCAATGGGTAAAAAGTATTAAAGCCTTTTTCTCTTGCCTGCATATCCTCTTGACCATTGGCATAGTCATCACTTTTTCATTTTAGTGTAGTTAGAAGAATTCCTTCTTCAAACATTAAAGATCCACAGAGCAGTATTTCTAAGTATGCCTTGAAGAACTAAATGAAGTGGATAGCACTTGCCTTTACTAGACATTCTTTACACTTGTACAATTATGTAGTAAATGTATGTTTACAGGGTTTATTATGTTTACAGATTAAGCTAATTTCTGTAGTCGCCTTTTTATATTTTTAGTATCACTCTAGTAAAAAAAACCAAATGATTTGTTTAAAGTAACCAAAGAGTTGTTATAATGCATAATTTGTATTAAATGTATTACTATTTCTTATGCCTTTTAAAAATACTGTTTACAATGAAGACAATGTTTTTATTACAAATCCAGAACTCTCTAGGCAAAATGCTACAGTTCGAATCTTCCTTTAACCAAACTCAAGTACATAAAGACCATGTACATGTATTCATCAAATATTTACTGAATGCTGCGTGCATAGCGCTGTGCTGTGCTCTGGGGTAAGAGTTGTCAGCTTCAGAGAAGCTGAGTCCTGATCCTCAAGGAATTTGCAAATGTGTCGATGAATTTGTAAAACAATCAAAAGTAGGGGTAAGCAGAATAAGGCAAAAGGGAAAGTGTTCCAGGTTCCAGCACACCTGCAAAGATAAAGTAGGCCAAGACTGTATTTATATTTCATACTTACATTGTTTCATCCTTATATTGGAATGATTATATAGAAAATGCTCTTAAAAAGATTAAACCTATTTCTCAGTATGGTATCTTGGTGATTTAGGAATAATTGTAAATATATGTTGTGAATCTTCTTAAATATATATATATACACCCTGTGAGAACTGTAAAAAGTACCTTGGTTCTTGGTTTAAGTTTGTTGGGGTATAACATGATGAGTACTCATTAGCACCTGATAGAAATCTGAAATACGACAGTAGCAAAACCACTTTCTGCTTTCCAAACACCGCATCATCAGCATGGTTTAGGGGAAGCAATTCACAGATTAACATACCCTGCGTTTTGTCTTCACCATTGTCAACCAGCAGTCAAGGATGAGCGCCAGGTATAGTCCTGGTTTGATCTCTCACCAGCCATGTGAACTGAAGCAGCTTACTTAACCTCTCTGGATTCATATTTCTTCGTCTGTCAAATGAGAATAATCATGCCCACCCTCAATGTCATGCCAGATTGTCCTAAGTTCCAGACAGATGAGAAAGCAAAAAGTACTTTGTAAAGTGTTATACAATCAGAAGGTGCTTTGTGCTGACCGTCAGATTGTGTCAAGTCAGGTGTGCAAATTGACCACACTCCCAAAGAATCATTTAAAAGTAAAGTGACTTCTAAGAGACAAGGAAGTAGGAGCATATCTGATATTAAATATATAAATAAATATAGATACACATGTGTATATCTGTATATGGATCTTACCATCATAATTCATTTTCTTCGTATCAGCAAAGTAATAGTAATGTGGGCCAATGCATTTTGGAAATGTCCTCATTATGTAGAATGGAATGTGAAAATTATTTTTGTTTAAAAAGGATTTTGCTGCAATTATTTAAATATTATGTTTGTGAAGTATCTAAGCATGAGAAAATACAAAGCTTTCTTTTTATCTGGCTGATACTCATTTGGATGATTCTGTGACTCATAGAACACGGTGTTAATGAGACCAGACTCACTGCCACCAGTCCCCAGCTGCAGACCGTCATCCCCTTCGTCTCCCACTGGGGGCTCATGGTCCGGAAGGAATGTGTATCAAGCAACACAGGCCGTTATCCCATATAGAAAAGTGTCTCAAATGCATTCTACTGCTGGACAGTCAGTAGGATCATTTTCATAAAGCAAGGACATCATGTGTTTCTAGAAATTATAAGCATATAACTTTAACCTACAATCTCTAATTAAAAAATTGTAACATAAAATTGTATTACAAATACATTTCATCAGAACTCAAATTTAAATGGTGTTTATTTTAGGTTTTTATTTATAATACTGAAGTTATTCCATATAAGTATCAAGTTAAACACAATTCATTTTGATTACAAACTGACTTTTTAAAATCTTCTGATATGGTAAATATATGTATCAAGATTGATGTATCGAAATTTATTGCACACTTTAAAGTATAAAATCACTTTTTAAAATCTTGAATCCACAAATAAAGTTTATTCTGATTAAAAAATAAAAATAAAAACACAGCTGTGGTTCATTATAAAATAGGAGTGTTTCCAAGTCAGTATGCTGGGTGATGTCTTCTGGTCTAGTTCCTTACAGCAACATGTTAAATTCTCAATGCAATCCTAAACTTATTACCTGATGAACCAACATGATTATAAACTCTCAACCACAGATAATCAATTTCCACTTTACAAAAAGGTCATATTGCGTAAGTCTGGTTGTTAGTGAAATATCCAGAAGATAAAATTAACAGTTAAAAATGGACTGGATTTCAGGCACCTTGCTGCTCATCAGAGAAGCCAGTCTTGTAGCCAACCACTATTTATAACATTTCTATGAGAAAAAGAGTTCCGAGTGTTAATTCAGAACGAAATGTCTTTTCCTCCTTCCTCTCAGGCATGAGAATTAGTTTCCCAGTTAGAAGGGAGTCCACTCCCACCCACTCAAGCCAGCCTGGGAAGGTGCTGTTCCAGCCCCACGTTTCTGCCACAATCGAGACCATAGCTTTTAATTCGGGGGGCTCAGGCCATGGCCCTCTGCTTCCACCCTTCGTGTTCTAGCCAGCTTGGACAGCAGCTAACCCACACCATGCCCCACTTGTACAAGAAGTCCTTGTTTTGCTGTCCATCACGGCAGATATTTATTTTATAAATGATATTAAACTAAGATATTAGAATGTCAGGACCTCACTATGAAGAGTCTTAGTAGATTTTTGTGTATTTTCCTTGTAAGTTAAAGCCTATCACTACACTAGCCTCCTGCTTCTGTTCCACTCATCTCTTCCCCTGCAATGCATCCTACACAGTACCTCCATCACAACCAGTGTTTCCTTTTTAGCACACAGATTCGATCAGGTTACTGTACCATCAGAAAACCTGAGAGCTCCCCAGAGCCAAAAGCATGAAGCACAAACCCGTTAGCATGGAGGCTGGCATGGAGTGCAGTCCATCCTCAGCCTAAGGTCTCAGTTCCACCTTCCATCATACCTCACTCAGGCGCCCTTGGTTCCCCTCCGGATCAGAGTCCTTCCAGCCCCTAATCACTGCAGACTCAGTGCCACCTCAGTGCTTTCGCTTCTCATGTCTACTTGAGTAAGTGACTTCACTTTCTGGACACAGTGGAAAGGTGCTGTGGCCTCAGCAGTTGGTATATACTAGTGTAGAAGACATTGCATTACACTTCTTTGTTTACGTAATTCTGTCCTACAAACTTCTGGGCAGTTTGAGGACAAACACAATTCTGTATCCATCTTTTTCATATGTTCATTTCCCAATGCAAATACTGGATGAATTTGAGCTTAAAAAGACTATTTGTGTATAGAATCCATTTGGGAGCACATATGGTGTGCCTGGAACTGCAAAAATGTGCAGGAGCTCTGTATTTAGGTGGACATTGGGGACTACGTAAATATTCAAGCAGAGAGGGAACTTGATTGAGATCCTGCTGAGTGCGGGGTTCTGCAGTAAACACTTTATGTGGATCTCATTTAATCTTCATAAAAACTCAGTGAGGCAAGTTTTATAGGCTCAAGGACAAGTAAGACACCTAAGGCCACACAGCTTGTAAACTCAGTGGATTTAGGAACCACAACAAAGAAAAGCTATGGAATCCAACAAATTACCAAGATGTATCCATTTTCTTGGGCTGCACAACAAATTGCCATAAACTTAGCAGCTAAAAACAATACCCATTTATGATCTCAGAGTTCTGTAGGTCACAAGTGCACATGGTCTTAGCTTAGGGTTCTCTGCTCAGGGTCTCTCAAAGCCAAAATCATGGTGTCGGGGCTATTGCCTGCATCCACAATCTTTCCGATTATTGGCAGAATCCAGGTCCTAGTAGCTGCAGGTCTGAAGTCCTTGTTTTCTTGCTGGATGGCAGCTGGGGGGCACTCTTAACTTTCGGACGTCGCCAACATTCCTCATGGATTGGCCCTCTCTCCCTCTTCAAGCCAACAATGCCTCTCATGCTTCTAATCTCTGATTTCCCATTTGGCTGCCCTCTTCTGCCACCAGACTGAGAAAGTTCTCTGCATTTCAAGATTTATTTGAATAGATCAGACCCACCTGAATAGTTTTCCTTTTTGAAAATTGACTGTACTGGCCAGGTATGGGGGCTCACGCCTATAATCCCAGCCCTTTGAAAGGCCGAGGCAGGTGGATCACCTGAGGTCAAGAGTTTGAGACCAGCCTGACCAATATGGCAAAACCCTGTCTACTAAAAAGACAAAACCTAGCCAGGCGTGGTGGTGCATGCCTGTAATCCCAGCTACTTGGGAGGCTGAGGCAGGAGAATCACTTGAACCCGGGAGGTGGAAGTTGCAGTGAGCCAAGATCATGCCATTGCACTCTAGCCTGGGTGACAAGACTGAAACTCCGACTCAAAAAAAGAAACAAACAAACAGAAAAACCCGTCTCAAATAAAAAAAAAAAAAAAAGAAAAGAAAATTGTACCTTAGGCAGAACACAGTCATGGGACCAAGATCTTATCATGTTCATAAACAGCACACATTAGGAGGATGAGATATTTCCTAGATCATTACTAGCAAATTCTGCCTTCCACACAAGGTAAAGGCTAAGGATAGAAAAGGATAATGGAGATTCACCTTGAAAAACACTTACATATATCTGATTTTATAATGTGCAGTTCATTTTTCCCTCTTTGTCAGTGGAAGGCCAGCTAGATAAACTAATGCTAACAACAGCCAGTAAGATTCCACTTCAGCAGCTGTAAATTCACAAGTCACTATTCTCAGATGAGCCATCAATTCGTATTTTTCTCAATACCAGAAGGTTGCATTGGCCTGAAATTATATTCAACTCATCCTTACAATCTTGCTTCTTACATAAAAAGAAATGAAAAGCCGTCATTGCTCCTTTTACTGGGAAGGTTGGTGTCTTTCCAGTGAAATCATGGTCAGGATTATGAGGTGGGTCCAAATCAGACTAGAGCCATGAAGGGAAGAAAGCAGTTCACAGCCCAGAGCTGCTATCATTCTCTGCAGATGTGTTTAGAACTGCTTTAAATCTCTGGAGAGAAGCGCAAGGGAGGGCCTCCAAAAGCCCAAGTAACTGAAAGTTCCTGTACAATCATATGACTCTCGAACAAAGTTTTTTCTCCTCGTGAAATTAACCAAAGATTAAAGCCGTAACTATAGGCTCAGGAGCTATACTCTATTCATTATTTAGGTCCTGACTTAAGTTCTCTTCTGAAAAATAATCAATTATTATCAAGGCAAACATCATGCCTTCTTGAAAGTTGTTTTTCTGGAACAAGAATATTTTATAAATGAGAATTTCAAGCGTATTTTCTCAAACTAATAGGAGGTAATGAGCACAGTGAACTAAGATAATCTCAGTTTAAACAAACAGGATTTTCACTGATGCTGGACTTGAAAACACTATCCAGATTAATGACTTTGTTAATACCCAGTCACTGGGCATAAGTCCAAGTGTAGCATAAATATTCTTCCAGACTTGATGACAGTGAAATATCCTATGTTTAGCCCTCTGAAGGGATAACCAAATTCTCAGTGATTGATGGATGGCAGCCAACTAGGTTCGCTTTTTTAGTATTGCTGTTTGTTGGAATGGGGTCATGCTTGTGAATGGATAGTGACGGTGTGCGGTTTTATGAGGAATTCTGTAACGTTTTATCCCTGTCTACCCCTTCAAAAGAAGTGTGAGAAGAGAAAAAAGAAAGCTGTACTAACTCAGCCACTACTCGGACTCTGGAATATCTGTGGTTCCCCCAGGGGCTCAATTTATATACTTGCTCCATCTCTGTCTGCGGACATTGTGAAACGGAATTTGGGATTTATTATCAAGACTTCTAATTACTAATATAGGCATTGACAAGGTTGGGGAAGGGAGTTATACGCAGCACATACTGCAAACCTTTGGAAGGCATATTAAGACACAGTTGAGCCTACAGTATCTTAGGATTGGTCCCGCACTATTTAATAGTCATATAAAGCAGGCAACATGTGTAGTTTTAAATTTTCTAGTAGCCATGGTTTAAAATGTAAAAAGAAAATTAATTGTAATAATCTATTTTATCTAACTCAGTATATCCAAAACATCATTTCAGGCCGGGTGCAGTGGCTCACGCCTGTAATCCCAGCACTTTGGGAGGCTAAGGCAGGTGGATCACCTGAGGTCAGGAGTTTGAGACCAGCCTGGCCAAATGATGAAATCTCATCTCTACTAAAAATACAAAAAATTAGCCAAGCATGGTGGCGGGCACCTGTAATCCCAGCCAGTCAGGAGGCTGAGGCAGGAGAATCACTTGAACCCAGGAGGCCAAGGTTGCAGTGAGCCGAGATTGCCCCATTGCACTCCAGCCTGGGCAACAAGAGCGAAACTCCATCTAAAAAAATAAGAAATAAAAAAATAAATCATTTCAACATGTGATTAATATAAAATTGTTAATGAGATATTTTCCATTTTGGGTACTAAGTCTTCGAAACCCAGTATGTACCTTATGCTTACAGCATATCTTAATTCAGACTGGCCACATTTGAAATAGCCACATGTAGCTGGTGCTGCCATATTGGACAGCCCTGGACTCCGTGGGCCTAAGGCCAAACTACTACACAACACAAAGGAATTGAGAGGCAGCTACAAATGGCTCACCTAGCAGCGTTGCTAAATTATTTTGCTTCCTCCAGGGAACCCCAGAGACTAGGAAGAAGTTCTTACAGGAGAGCCAAATGTTGAAATTCAAACAACATTCTAATCTAGACAGTCACTTTTTGAAATTTAAAATTTACATTTAGAAATTATTTCATCCATTGTGGAAGACAGTGTGGTGATTCCTCAGAGACCTAGAAGCAGAAATACCATTTGACCCAGCCATCCCATTATTGGATATATACCAAAAAGAATATAAATCATTCTGTTATAAAGATACGTTCCAACGTATGTTCATGGCAGCACTATTCACAACAACAAAGACATGGAATCAACCCAAATGCCCATCAATGATAGACTGGATAAG